TTCCTCCAATGGTTCTCCCGGGACTACTCCTACCCCACCTCCTGCCTCTGGCCTGCAGACAGAGGAAGGAACTGCAACGGGACCAGCAGCGCCTTCAGCCAGCCAGCCTGCCAGCTTCGACCAGAGTATGATGGAGAAATTTTTCTCCTTCATGTCGTTCTACGAGCAACACCAGCAATCGGCACCTGCGCAGTCAAACAACAGCAACAACAACAACGTGACTCCAATGAGTCTTGACGGCTCATCATATGCACGCGGAAACCAGCAACAACCTACCTTTGCTCCGTATGAGCGCGGGTCCATTAGCTTCATGCCGCAGCCGCAAGCCCCACCTGGACAAGAAAAACCACTGGACGCACTGCAAGTTCAATCGCAATTTGCGCACGTCTTGAAGCTGCAGACGTCAAGACCTTTTGACGGAAATGACTTCTTTACCTGGTCGTTCGAGTTCGAGCTCATGATGGAAGGCGCGCAGATACTTGGGTTCTTCGACGGGTCTGTGCCATACCCAACCAACGGCACACAGTATGAGAAGCAGCAGTACACATATCAGTCGATGATGGCGTACACGATCCTGCTGAGAAATATCACCCCAAGCCAGCAGCAGAACATTCGGTCTTACCGGGGATACGGCAACTCTGCCGAGCTCGCTTACAGCCACCTGAAGAACCTGTATCAAGCAACAGACAGCGTCAACCAGAGTCGGTTAATGGCGCAATTGACAAACGTCGAAATGAAACCAGGCGAAAAGGGAATGGCGTATATCAGCCGCTGTCGCGAACTGCGCGACAAACTCCTTCGATGCGGAGGATCAATAGCCGAAGAAGCCTTCGTAACAGTCGTCATCGGTGGCCTCGGTCCGCAATGGCGTTCCACCCGAGCCATCCTTCGAGCTCACGGAAAAATCTCCGAAGCAGCGCTCTGTGCTGAAATTCACGCCGAACAACAAGACATGGACCTGCAAGAAGAACGACACAAGAGAAAAACGTCAGTTCCGGAGTTCGCGTTCCACACTCAGCGACGCTACAACAACAACAACAACCGACAACAACAGAAGCACGTACCTCCGTTCTGCCATATCTGCAAGACGTCAGGGCACCCGCGCACACACTGCCCGAATCGACAACAGTCAACGCCACAACAGCGACAGCTTCGACCCTCAAGCAGCCAAGTTGCTTCAACGCAAGCGAATCCTACGACCCAGGTTCAAGCTTCAACAACATCAACGGGACAACCTGCACAAGGCGCAAGAAACATCGTCAGTTGTATGGCAAGACTGACCGACTCCTGCATCACCGAATCACCACCTCATTACTCACCGGAAGAACAGCTTGACAACAGCACGCCCCGCCGCGAGTCACTGCAGCCGAACCCGACATACGCCGCTATCGCCCAGAGTGAGCCATCCGGGAAGGACACATGGTTCTTGGACAGTTGCTGCGGACAACACATGTGCTCTTCAGGACGCTTCGTACAACGAGAATATCAACTTCAACGAGAAGTAGTCATCACCGTCGCCAACAACCAGAACCTGCGCACACGACGACAAGGCGTGGTACAACTTCAGTCACGAGAAACAAGTGTCATTCTACAAATGACCAAGGTTTTAATCGCAGAAGGCCTCGGCTATAACTTACTGAGCGTCAGTCAGTTGATGGCGAAAGGCATTCACCTCGAAGCAGACAGCACCACCCAGGAGTTCAAGCTGTACCACGGAAAGGGCGGCCTCTACATCGGAAAGGCGATCCTCAAGAACAACGTCTTCGTTCTTGATTTCGTACCAGACCTTGGCACCGCTGACAGCGACGGCATCGTCAGTTTTGCTCCTTGGACACATCCTCCAGATCTTGACCCAGACTTCAGTCCCGGCGGCTTCTGGCACTCACACACCATTCCTGAAACAGAGAGAACAAGGGCGTTAGCAACAATTCAGACAACATCGGCAGCAGCAGAGACAACATCGGCAGCAGCAGAGACAACATCGGCAGCAGCAGAGACAACATCAGCAGCAGCAGAGACAACATCGGCAGCAGCAGAGACAACATCGGCAGCAGCAGAGACAGCAACGACAGCAGCAGCGGCAACATCGGCACCAATCGCCGGTCCCTCAACGGCACCAATCTTCATCGACGGTTCGCCTCCGACACCCGCACAGCAGTTAACCCCGGCACCACGAGAAGTCCACCGAAGCGCTAACATCACCGCCGGCTTCTACTTAAACTCAGACATGTACAGACGCTCACCCGGGCACCGCGCCAGCGAAGACATCTGGCACGCACGGATGGGACACCCAAGCAACACAACGTTAAACAACACAATAAGAGCAGGAGTGCTCGACAAAGACTCCCTACTACTGCACGACGGAAGAGAACTTCAACGAGTCAGAGGAACATGCTTCACCTGTCCTGAAGCCGACTTACCGCATCAGCCGTTCGTACCTCATCACAACCCAAGCGCACCTGCATACACACCACTTGAGAAGGTATACAGCGACATCCTGTACAATCGCGCAACAGGGCAAGGAGCCTTCAATTACACCATCACCTTCATCGACGCCGCCACTCGATATGTGTGGCACCTCAACCTTCCAAGCCGCGATATGGCTTTCGAAGCCTTTGTCGCCTGGCTACCAGTTGCGGAACGAGAATCGGGAGCTAAGCTGAAAAGCTTTCAATCAGACGGGGGAGGAGAATACACCTCACAAAGGTTCAAGCAATACTTGGCGGAAAGAGGAATCAAGAAACTCATCTCCCTCCCCTACGCCCATCAACAGCAGGGTGTAGCAGAAAGGATGAACAGGACCCTGCAGAACACCATGCGCAAACTGCTACGTGGCATGCGGCTACCCAACCACCAGTGGCCCGAGGCGATAGACCACGCTGTCATGCTGCACAACTTGCTATCCTCGTCGTCACTCCCGAACAACGCATCACCGCACCTGCTGTGGACAGGAAAACTGGGCAGCACAAAAATGTTACGAGTTTTCGGGTGCATGGTACAGTACCGACCCCCAGCTGCACGAGCCGGACGTTTCTCCCAACGAGCACAATGGGGACTACACCTGGGCATCGAAAAGAACTACAACGCGTGGAAAATTTTCGACGTCCACTCAAAAGAAACAGTACCAGCACGCGATGTCATCTTCTACGAGCGACTCACCCTCGACTCCTACCTTGCCAACTTGGCAGAACAGCGAGACCTCACCAGTGGATTCCGTGGAGACAGAGCCTTCGCCTCGGCAGCCGACGAAGCTGACCTGGACGAACAGAACGTGGACGGAGCTTCGGAAGAAGCCGGACCTCTCCCGTACTGCTCCGTCGATATCCCAATGGATGACGAAAATCCTCGCGAAAGCATCAACGCCGACGTTTTCTACGATTTCGCCGACACTGGTTACGTTACACCTGCACGGGTCAACACCGACGAAGCAGAACGCATAGGACCAAATTTCTTACCGGACCCAGAGGCCGGTGACGAAGCAGCTTATCCCGAGGACACCACACTCCCCCGCTACACACAGAGTGGACTCTAGATCCTTGGACTCGTCACCGCAGTCCACGGCACCGCCATTCCTAAGGAGCCTGCGACGGTTCAACAGGCTCTGGGGGGGGAGCACAGGGAAAAATGGCGCGAAGCCATGGACAGGGAGCTGAAAGCATTAGAAGAGCGCAACACGTGGAAAGTCGTTCCCATCAGTGTGGCAAGAAACAAGACCATTCTCACCGGGAAATGGGTCTTCCGCGTAAAGACGAAAGCTGACGGCACCATCGACAAGTTCAAAGCACGATGGGTCGTGCGCGGCTTCGACCAAGAACAAGGACGGGACTTCACCGAGACCTTCGCACCGGTCAGCCGACACACCTCACTTCGAATCCTCCTCGCGATCGCCGCCATGAAAAGGAAGAAGCTGCGGCAAATCGACGTCGCGAACGCCTTCCTCTACGCACCCGTTGACGCAGAGATTTTTGTGGAGCTACCACACGGCTCCAGCACGGACTCCACACACGTCTGCCAGCTGCTCAAGTCGCTCTACGGCATCAAACAGGCTCCGCGACTGTGGCAACAGTATCTACACGCTCGCCTCGTCCGCATCGGCTTCAAACAACTGCCGCACGATCAGGGCATGTACCGACTTACAAAGAACACCGACTACATTCTACTAATCGTCTATGTAGACGACCTCCTCTACATCGGCTCGTCCGACGGCATCACCACCTGGTTCGAAGGGGAGCTGCAACGAGACCTCACACTTGTTGGGCTGAGAAAAAGCCCTTAGGATCTTTTGCAGGGGTAAATTCGGGGTAGAACAATTGTAATAGCGGAAGCGTTTAATGAAGAAGTTGTGAACCACCTTGCACTAGTGTGTGAGGGCAAAGTAAGTTAATTAAAGCAAGGAGATACAAGCATTTATATATGAGTACAAGGAATATGAAAGGATACAGTTGTAACTACTTTACTGTTGCTGTTGCGGTTCGATACAGTGACGACTCGGGCAACTGCTCTGTAGCGAGTCAGTTGTGTGTCCTTGCTGTCGCGCTGTATTTGTCAGGTCAAAGGTCGCTGACCTTTGACTTTCGCGTAACCTCCAGCAACCTCTTTCAACCTCCGAGGGTTGACTCGCGTGTGCCTCGATATGGTTCGCTTCGCTTCTGGTGCGATGTTTCGACACGACAGAGGCGCTTTAGGATTTACTGTTTCCAACAAACACTACCCTACCAGTTAGCTACCACCCCCTCACCAATACCGTACGTATTGTTTGTTAGTTTTTTTCTCACCACAATGGTGCTACTTACGCATCATGGCATGAGACAATGTGGAAGATTCTACAACTACCGTACAAGATTCGGACCGCACCAATTTGAGGGCCACATTTACACCCTTTATTCATTACTGGAGAGCTCAGTGTAGCACAGTACTAGGACAGACAATAATAAAGTATCCCTTTAGTGTAGCCAGAATTACAAATTGCCGAATACTGGTAGTAGCAAGTTGAACCAGCATTACTTGGTAACATCTTCAACAGTGAAAAGCAACACAGCGATCTTGTAGGAGAGGAAGCCTATAAAGAGGGGTGCAAACTGTTTCCACAAGAAACAAAGAAAAGAGAGGATCAGACAGATATTCGGGCGAGGGAAAAGGGGCAATGGTGGGAAAGGGGAAAGGGGGCAATGGTGAGAGTGAGAATACACTGCAATCTTGCAAGGGAGGAAGACTATAAAGGGAAACAAAGGGAAGGGATAAAACAAGCGTCTGGGCAAGGGAAAGGGGGCAATGGCACAAAGCAGAAAGATAAGAAAGAGCAACAGAGTGAGACGGGATATACGGTAGAGGTAGAAAAGCAGACGGCAGTACAAACCGCATGGCACACGAAAATTGCACCCAGAACGCCCGAGAGGGAAATTGTGAGAGATAGAGAACGTCCAGGAGAGGAAAGGTGGCAGCAGAGGGCGAGCAGAAGGCGAGCTGTGTTCCCTGCTTTCAGCACTCACAACCACTCATCACCACTCACCACCACTCATCACCACTCACCACCACTCATCACCACTCCCCGACAGACCTCCTCAACTCAATGTGCCGCTGCCGCTGAATTGCACTGAGAAGGCCCAGAGCAGCACGAGAGCAGCAGGCACAAGCAGGGAGCAGGAAAAGGGAGCATACAGCACTCACCACCACTCACCACCGCTCAACAGCACTCCCCAACAAACCTCCGCACCTCAATGTGCAAGCTGTTGGGGTCGCTACCACTGAATTGCATGGAGAAGGCCCAGAGCAGCACGAGAGCAGCAGGCACGAGCAGGCGGCGTGAGGAGAGAGTGGGAGGAAAGGGCGGATTGTGCTCCCTGCATACCACCACTCACCACCATTCTACACTCCTCCTCACCTCGATGTGCAAGCTGTTGGGGTCACTTCCACTGAATTGCACCAAGAACGCCCATAGCAGCACGAGAGCAGCAGGCACGAGCAGGCGGCGCGAGGAGAGGGCTAGCTGAGCCCCCTGCAAACAGCACTCAACACCATTCACCACCACTCACCACCACTCAACACCCCATCCCACCACTTCCCACCACTTCCCCACCACTTCCCCACAAGCCTCCTCACCTCCATGTGCAAGCTGTTGAGGTCGCCACTGAATTGCACGGAGAAGGCCCAGAGCAGCACGAGAGCAGCAGGCACGAGCAGGCGATGGGAGGAGAGGGCTAGCTGTGCTCCTTGCAAACACACTCCCCACCGCTCACCACCGCGTAACAGCACTACCCGTGAAACATCCTCACCTCGATATGGAGGCTGTTGGGGTCGCTGCCGCTAAATTGCACAGAGAAGGCCCAGAGCAGCACGAGAGCAGCAGGCACAAGCAGGCGGCGCGAGGAGAGGGCGAGCTGTGCCCCCTGCAGCAGCTTCTGAGGCGAATCGACTGTTGCTAGACTGTCAACCAGCCCCTTCCTGGGAGCAGCAACAGGGGTGTAGGGGATGAGTAGGGATTGGGTGTGGGAAACACAGAGATGGTGAGAGGAGGTTGTGGGCTGAGCCCCGCCCCCTGCAGGAGCTTCCGACGCAAGGGTGTTAACCTGCCCATGACTGAGAGGAAGGGAGAATCCTTTTTTTTTTTTTTTTTAATTTTCTTTAATGACTCAAAAACGGAGGTTGTGGGCTGAGCCCCGCCCCCTGCAGGAGCTTCCGACACAGGGGTGTTGACCTGACCATTGCTGAGAGAAAGGGAGGGGTGGTTAAGAGGTGGTTAAGAGGTGGTTAAGAGGTGGTTAAAAGGTGGTTAAGAGGTGGTTAAAAGGTGGTTCCGAGGCTAGTAGGAGAGTTTGGTAGGGAACGGGAATCCAAGGGGCACAGGGTTTGAGGGACTTCATGTCATGTGTGTGTTACAACTTTATTTCAACCTAAGTGCGTTTGAGACCTGCTCCATATACTGTCTCACCCCACCTCACCCCATCTCAACCCATCTCACCCCGTCAAACCCCATCCAACCCCCTCTCACCCTTTCTCACCCCACCTCACCTCTTGGGGCAGGTCTGTCGGGGCAATGGTGTCAGTGTCGTTGAAAAGAAGCAGCAGGTAGAGACAACTCGTTTTATCCCGTTCTAGCCCTTCTCATCCCTTCTCACCCCATGTTACCCCCTCTCGTTCCACCTCACCCCACCTCACCCCACCTCACTCCACCTCACCCCACCTCACTCCACCTCACCCCACCTCACTCCACCTCACCCCACCTCACCTCTTGGGCTTGCTCCGGTCGATAAGGAAGGCGGGAGGAGGTTCTGTGGGGTGATGGTTCGGCGTTGTTGAAAAGCAGAAGCAGGTAGAGGCACCTCCGTTACCCCACCCATCCTAACCCTTCTAATCCCTTCTCAACCCATCCCAACCCCTCTCATCATTTCTCACCCCACCTCACCTCTTGGGCTTGCTCCGGTCGATAAGGAAGGCGGGAGGGAGGTCCTGTGGGGTGATGGTGTCAGCGTCGTTGAAAAGAAGCAGCAGGTAGAGACAGCTGAAAAGGGCGAGGGGGGGAAGGGGATAAGGGCGATATGGGGAAATGGGCAGAAGGGCCATAGGTGAGTTGAGGAGAAGGGCGATAGGGAGAACTGGGAGAAGGGCGGTAGATAGGGGAAAAGGGGAGAAGGGGAGAAAGGCGGTAGGGGGCAAGGGGAGAAGGGCAGTAGGGGGGAAGGGGAGAAGGGCGGTAGGGGGCAAGGGGAGAAGGGCGGTAGGGGGGAAGGGGAGAAGGGCGATGGGGGGCAAGGGGAGAAGGGCGATGGGGGGCAAGGGGAGAAGGGCGGTGGGGGGCAAGGGGAGAAGGGCGGTAGGGGGCAAGGGGAGAAGGGCGGTAGGGGGCAAGGGGAGAAGGGCGGTAGGGGGCAAGGGGAGAAGGGCAATGGGGGGGAAGGGGAGAAGGGCGATGGGGGGCAAGGGGAGAAGGGCGATGGGGGGCAAGGGGAGAAGGGCGGTGGGGGGCAAGGGGGAAGAAACAGTTAAGGATAATGTGAGAAGGACGATAGGAGAAAATGGGCACCCAAATCCCCCAAGCGACACACAAAACCCTGAGAAAACACCCAAAACCCTTGCGCAACACCCAACACCCTGAAGACACACCCAAAAATTAAAACCCTGAAGCGAGACCCTAAACCCTCAATCGACAAGCGAAACCCTCAAGCAATAACCAAAAGGCTAGATTCAGTCAGAAGGGACGCTGGCACTGTCACCTCCCCCATCCCGCCCCCCCTTCCCCCGCCAACACCCCAGACCCCCCCCCCCCCCCCTCCCCGCACCATCACTACCCAGTCGGAAGTACCTGGCAGCGCTTCCGATGCCATAGCTGATGGCAGTCTGTGGTGTGGATGGGACGGGGCGCATGCGCAGAACAAGGGAGGGATAGTTTTTTTTTTTTTTTTTTTTTTTTTTTAGGGGGGGGAGGGGGAGAGGAAGGGGGGAGGGGAGGGGGGGGGGGATGTTAAATGGAGGGGTTTTTCAACCTGGTTGTCCCCGACTCTTGATCTTGATAAGCAAAACTACTTTGTGAAACTCGCACTCACACTCACGGAGGTCGGGCACCCACACTCACAACACTCGTTTCCCGTTCATCCCCTGTTTTCACGCACACACACACACACACACACACACACACACACACACACACACACACACACACTCGTACTCACACAATCTCCCAAACATGAACTCGCCAAAAGCACCCCCAAACTCACTCGCCAACACACACAGCAAGCACACACTCTCACAAACACCCTCACACTTTCTCACCTGAATGGAGATCCCGAGGAAGCAGTAGAGCGTGCCTGCAGCCCCCACTCCTATAGCCGTCTGCGACAGCTGCTTCTTCAGCTGGTACAGGAAAAAAGGGGGGATGATTTGGAAAGTGAGGAAACTAAGGAGGTTGGGGGAGGCGGAGATGAGAGAGAACAGCGACTCGTGCTTCCAAGGGTGACTCGATTAATTTGAAATGGATTTGGCTCACGAACATGAGGTGTGTTTTGAGAGTTTGAAACGAACATGACAAATGCTTCCAAGAGTGACTCACATCGCCGTGCTCCCACATGGTCTGTTGTTGCAGGTGTTTTGGGTGGTTTTTTGGTGGGTTTTAGTGTTCTTTTAGAAAATCAAAGACAACCGAAAACGGCTCACGCCTCTTGGGTGACTCACATCGCCGTATTCTCGCATGGTTTGTTGCCGGCTCTCCTCCCTCCGTTTCATCATCTCCTGCAACGATTGAAAGTGGTAGGCAGTGGTGGCTTGGAAAATGAGCAGATGTCTGAGACTATCTGTAATCAAACAATGAGCGTGTCTGCAGTTGGATTCTTGTTATCATTTGACACCTGCATAATTCATGCCGGAAAAAAAAAAACACACACACACACACACACACACACACACACACACACACACACACACACACACACACACACACACACACACACACACACACACACACACACACACACACACACGTGGAATTGACGACAGGTACAGCCATCACGTTCGGTCAGGATCAAGCTGCTGCTCGCACCTGGTATCGTCGGTTAGGATCCGAAGCTGCGAGCCTGGCTTGTGCGCGAGCCTCCGTCTCAGCCTCGAACGGCCGAGCCACGACGGGCTCCCCGCCTTCGTTTGGACCGCCCAGTTGGCATGTGACTATAGAAAGGCGTGACATAGACGAGGGCCGTCTGCGTGACTGAAAAGAGGGGAATTTTCGGACGGAGCTTATTAAAGCAATAGTGAGCGAAGCTGTCTCACCTAGCAAGCACCCCCGTAACGCGGTTGACGTCCTCCCAATAAACTACTGAGGAACAATGAAAAGCAAAATTGTAACCAAAGCTGGTAGTAATCGCTACATGTGTGAATCAAAAAGGAGAAAAAGAGGAAAGACAAATTGCGGACTTTTTAACTTTGAACAACTTACGCATTGTAACGACGGGCTGGCGCTTAGCCGCAGTTGCAAGCTGGGAGCTCTTAGCAATGCCATTCTTAGCTAAATCTTCAGCAACGAAGAACGTATCTACTGAATGTATTCACTAAGACTTTACTAAAAATGGGCAAATAGCTTATTGTCGATAGTCCTGACGTGTCTAGCGCGTATAGATTTTTTCCTTTATCAGCGGAGTTATTGAAGTGGTTAGTAGCTAATTGTCTTCACCAATGATCAAGCGGCACGAATGAGAAAACCTATAATGCTGGACTGCTGATGCCGCTGGTAATGAAAAGTCGACCAGCCTGCTCTTGCGAGCCTCGTAAAATGGATCTCTTCTCAGCGAGTGCTTCTTAATAAGCCTGCGGCTTCTCACAAAAACCTGCGGAGTCGCTCCCTGCAAGGCTGAAGTGGTGGTGAATCACCTATTGTGAAATCACTTGGGAACTCCAAGTTTGTGCCAGGAAGTTTGATCTTGATCAATAGTCTCTCAGGCAGTGTTCAAAGCCAAACCCGACTCGGGTCAATCATTGAGGTTTCAGAAAGCAAGTGAGGACCAGTGCTAGAAATTTGTGTCCAGCGTGAAATCTGCCTCGGTTTCATTCTGAATACGAAATACTGTACTCTTAAAATGGTCCTGTTCGCGTGCCAGATCTTACTGGGGCTTGGTCCAACAGAGAGAAAGGTATCATGATGACGTGGCAGCAAAGAATATTGAGAGCAGATCATCCCAGGTGGCTAACCTCGTCATAAGATCAATTTTGGCAAAGATTCACGTTAAATTCCATAACCTGCTGGTACAGCACGCAACAACTATCTAAATGTAGGCATACTAAATTACCTTCTCTAAAACCCACATGAAACATGATAATAGTCATTTCTATTTCAAATCACCTTGATCTCCGTTTTGAAGGTGGTCTCCTTGTGTTTCCTCTCGTTGTTGCGGCTGCTTTCGGCGGAAGAGCAGACGTTTGCGTCACGGGTAATCCCAAAGATGCAATTCCAGCAGGCGCATTAGATGGCGGAGGCTTGATAGTGGGGATACCAAGAGCCTTCCGCACCCCAGGCCGCTTAAATGCTGACAATTGATGGATAGAAATTTCAGGGAAACGACGCGAGTATAAGAGAGATGGCAGCGAAACCAAATAACGAGGGATTAAGTTATGGCAATTAGGGGTGGCATCAGGCACCGAATAATCCACAAGACGCAGGCATATTACATGGATGAATGGAGGTGTTTTGATATTTTGAAGATTAAAACATGCACTACAATTATTGTTATAAAGGAACACGTACCGAGGCCCTGGACAAGCGAGAAGGCGTTGGTGGTGATCCAGTAGCAGAACACAGCCTGCAGCAACACCATATATGGAAGGCAACAAGATAAAACTCATAGAGCGTCATTCGTGAAAAGTAGGAATGCTGAAAAGGGCATGTAGAAGGCCTTGAGAGAAGTGATGCCGTGACGTTTGAGTCAATTCAAAAGTCACCTCGTTACAATGGCACAAAACTGCATGTAGCAGGCCCTGAGAGAAGTGATGCCGGATGAAGGAGAAAGGATGAGCAGTGGCATGGTATGCATGGGAACGTGACAGTAAGTGAAGTGACAGAGTGACCATAAGTTACCTTAGGGAAGGTGACAGTAAGCGGAACCATGGTCACAGCCAATCCCCTCATGAACCATTTCATCTGCGCAGCATTGGGCGCCCCCTCCATGCCCTCTGCCGCGTTCAGCTGGAATACATGGATGCAACAGAGGGTGCGGGGCAGGGGGGGATGGGGATGCAAGAGGGAACACAGCAGCAAGCCCTCGGATGAACCACTTCATCTGCGCTGCATTGGGCGCTCCCTCCATGCCCTCTGCTGCGTTCAACTGGAATACAGGGGCACGGAGGAATACAGCAAGGGGGGCGCGTAGGGTGCAAAGCAGAGGAAGGGCAAGAGATGAACCACTTCATCATCTGCGCTGCATTGGGCGCTCCCTCCATGCCCTCTGCTGCGTTCACCTGGAATACACGGATACAATAGCAGGGGGGAGGTGGGTGGTGGAGCGAGTGAGCGAAGCATGTCTTTTGTGTCGACTCAAAAGTCCCTCCCTCCATGCCCTCTGCTGCGTTCAGCTGGATTACACGGATGCAATAGCAGGGGGAAGGTGGGTGGGGCGAGCAAAGTTTTGTGTCGACTCAAAACATTGGGTGCTCCCTCCCTCCATGCCCTCTGCTGCGTTCAGCTGGAATACACGGATGCAACAGGGATGCATGGAGTTGATTTTTGAGTCGACTCAAAAATCAACTCATTACAAGGATGCAACAAGGATGCAACAAGGATGCAACAGGGATGCATGGAGCGAGCAAAGCATGTAGCAGGAGTTGATTTTTGAGGCGCCTAAAAAATCAACCCAGAGCGAGCAAAAGCATGTGGAAGGAGATAAGAGAGGCAATAGGGTTTGTAAACAAACTGTTGGACAAAAGTGAGAAAGGTGAAGAAAGGGTGTTCCACAGATACACCCTTTTTTGATCTGTGGATATGAAAAAAGGGGTCAGATATGAAAATATGTAAGAGTGACATGAACAAAGCTGTTGCACAGCATCCACAGCGCATGATAAGACATCTCAAAAACAAATCTCATAACACGTGGTTACCTGTTGCACAGCCTCCGCAGCGGTCAGGATTTTAGCGAGTGGCAGCATAAGGTGGTGGTCGGGTGTGGTGCGGTGAGGTGAGGCGAAGTGGGGGGGGGGGGGGGGAAGGAGAGGTTGGCGAGCCTCCTATTCTGAAGCTCTGCAAACATGGACTCACCTCTACTGCAGCCAGAATGCCAGCAGAGGACAGGAGCGGCAGCAGATAGGTGGGGTCGGGTGTACGGAGGCGTGGCGAGGTGAGGTGTGGTGAGGTGAGGTGTGGTGAGGTGAGGTGTGGTGAGGTGAGGTGTGGTGAGGTGAGGTGCGTTCAGTAATCCTCATCAGCTAAAGCTTCTCAGATAATGGACTCAACTCCACAGCAGCGAGGATGCCAGCAGAGGACATGAGAGGCAGCAGGTAGGTGGGATCGGGTGTGGTGAGGTCTGTGTTGAGGTCTGAGTGCCTCATTCCCTAACACTCCCCAGAGACCAACTCACCTCCACAGCAGCGAGGATGCCAGCAGAGGACATGAGAGGCAGCAGGTAGGTGGGATCGGGTGTGGTGAGGTCTGTGTTGAGGTCTGAGTGCCTCATTCCCTAACACTCCCCAGAGACCAACTCACCTCCACAGCAGCGAGGATGCCAGCAGAGGACATGAGAGGCAGCAGGTAGGTGGGATCGGGTGTGGTGAGGTCTGTGTTGAGGTCTGAGTGCCTCATTCCCTAACACTCCCCAGAGACCAACTCACCTCCACAGCAGCGAGGATGCCAGCAGAGGACATGAGAGGCAGCAGGTAGGTGGGATCGGGTGTGGTGAGGTCTGTGTTGAGGTCTGAGTGCCTCATTCCCTAACACTCCCCAGAGACCAACTCACCTCCACAGCAGCGAGGATGCCAGCAGAGGACATGAGAGGCAGCAGGTAGGTGGGATCGGGTGTGGTGAGGTCTGTGTTGAGGTCTGAGTGCCTCATTCCCTAACACTCCCCAGAGACCAACTCACCTCCACAGCAGCGAGGATGCCAGCAGAGGACATGAGAGGCAGCAGGTAGGTGGGATCGGGTGTGGTGAGGTCTGTGTTGAGGTCTGAGTGCCTCATTCCCTAACACTCCCCAGAGACCAACTCACCTCCACAGCAGCGAGGATGCCAGCAGAGGACATGAGAGGCAGCAGGTAGGTGGGGTCGGGTGTGGTGAGGTCCGTGAACCAGAAAGCACCACCCGTTGCGAACGATGGCATGTGCTCTGCCATGCCTGTGATCTGCATGAAGGGAGCGGGAAGGAGCATGGAGGAGGGATGGGGAAAAGGGGGTAATATGTGAGAGCAGGTAGGTAGGTGAGGTGGGGTCTGGTGTACTGAGGTTGGTGAAGCAGAAAGCTCCTCCCGTTGCGAACGATGGCATGTGCTGTGCTCCGCTCCGCTCCGTTCCGCCATGCCTTTGATCTGCATGAAGGGGGTGTTTTGAGACGTCTCAAAACACTTCTTCAATCACGATGGCATGTGCTCCGCTCCGCCCCGCCATGCCTGTGATCTGCATGAAGGGGGTGGGGAAGTGAGGAAGAGAGGGGGGATGGGAGGAGAGGGGGGATGGGAAGAGCAGGGAGAGCGCTAGTAGGTCAGTGAGGGGAGTGAACCAGAGAGTACCGCCTGACGCGAATGATGGCATGTGCTCTGCCATGCCTGTGATCTGCGAGAGGAGGATGGGGAGAGGGGATTGGGGAGGAGGACAGGACGGAACAGCAGGTAAGTGGGGGGTCGTGTCGTCGGGTGTGGTGAGGTTGGTGAATCAGAAAGCTCCTCCTGTTGCGAATGATGGCATGTGCTCTGCCATGCCTGTGATCTGCATAAGGGAGATGGGGAGAGGAGGAGAGGGTGTGGTGAGGTCAGTGAACCAGAGGGAACCGCCCGCTGTGAATGATAGCATGTGATGAGCCATTCCTGTGGTCTGCGCTGCATAAAGTAGAGGGGGAGAGGGAGACGGGTGGAATGGAAGGGGGAGGTGGGGCGGAATTTTAAGTCGACTCAAAAGAGGGGGAGAGGGACTTTTGAGTCGACTCAAAAGAGGGGGAGAGGGAGACGGGTGGAATGGAAGGGGGAGGTGGGGCGGAAAGGGGAAGGATAAAAGATGCAGTAGCACAGGAGGGGCCAGGTGTAGTGAGGTTGGTGAACCAGAAGATGAGGGGGGGAAGGGGGGAGGGGGAGCAGGGGGAGGGGGAGAAGGGAAAAAAAGGGACTGAAGGAATTTTCTAAATAGAATTTTCTAAGCGAAGTAGAGAGAAGGGAGAAGGGGGGGAAAGGGACTAAAGGAAGTCTTGTGTGAGAGATTTCGAAGTGAAGCAGAGAAGGCCTAAGACGAAGCAAATGCGAGCAATCAGAAGAGCGTATGCAAGCAAACAGCGAAGTATGAAGCAGGGATGAGCAGCAAGTGCAGCAAGTGCAGCAAGTGCAGCAAGTGCAGCAAGTGCAGCATAAGTGTACATCAAGAAGAGAAGGGGGAAGAGAAAGTGCAAGTGCAATTGACAAATCACGTACAGCGAAATAGAAACCGATGAAGATGGGGGCTTGTAGGAAGATCCCGAGGAGTGGAGCAAACGGCGTGGTATTATGCCTGGGTTCAAAGCAGAAAGCAGGCATAACACCAGGCAGAAAGGACGGAGAGAAAGCAGACAGGGAAGGGGAGAAGAAGGGTGCAGCCAGGGGGGGGGAAAGGGAATGAGGCCAGGGGGGGGGAAGGGAATGGCGCTAGCGTCAATGAGGCTTGACGCGTCAAATGCTTCACAGGTTTAGGGTTTCGGATGTTAAAGGTTTCAGGGGTTGACAGTTTTCAAGGGGTTCGGGTTTCAGGGGTTAACAGTTTCAAGAGGTTCGGGTTTCAGGGGTTAACAGTTTCAAGGGGTTCGGGTTTCAGGGGTTAACAATTTCAAGGGGTTCGGGTTTCAGGGGTTAACAGTTTCAAGGGGTTCGGATTTCAGGGGTTTGGGGTTTTGGATGATTAGGTGGGGGAAAACCCAGGTGGTGGTAGGGCTGGGAGGAAGTGTGCGCTGTGACTATGGTCGGGAATGGGGAAAATGGGAATACGGAGAAATTTCAGAGGTTTGAAGGTAATCATCGAGGGTTTTTTTTGAGAATTCTCAAAAAACACTCGCTTCATAATGAAGAATCAAAATCTCAAGAAGGAGAATCACAAACTGACGAGGAAAAAGAGGAAAAACACAAGCTTAACTTCTAAATAACAACTCGAATGCACCTACTTCTTTAGCAGTGCTTGCATCTTGCCATTGTAGTGAGCCACTGCCTCCGTGTCGTAGCCCTGTGATGTATGAAAATGGTTGATGGGGTTGATGAGGTTGATGGGGGGGACACAGGTTGTGGTTTAATATTAGCAATTTCAGGCATCATAAATCAGGGCCCGGCATTGGGGACAACACGACGAGGTGACTTTTGAGTTAACCCATAAGTCACAGGTTGAGGTTTCACATTAGAACTTTAGAGCTTTATAGAGGGGGGCCCCGCGGTCTGGGGGCAATGTAACTAACGCATTGCAGAGAGGGGTTGGATAGAAAAGAGAGGAGGGAGGTGGGAGGGGAGAGAAGGAGAGAGGAGAGAAAATAGAGGAGAGGGTGGGATGGGAGAGGAGGATATAGGAGAGAAAAGAGAGGAGAGAGGCGGATGGGGAGAGGAGGAGAGTGGATAGAAAAGCGAGGAGAGAGGTAGGAGGGGAGAGGGAGCCCAACAGGCCAGCCTGGGGAGGAGAAGGGCAGAGCCACTCACAGCAGCCTTGACTTTGTTCAGCAATCGCTCCATCTCTGGCTTGATGAGCTGATGTGATGGAGAGGAGGGGTGCGGTTGGGTTGGGTTGGGTGGGGTGGGGTGGGGTGCAATTAAAGGGAGAGAGAAAGGGGGGGACTGAATGCAGCAGCCTTGACTTTGTTCAGCAATCGCTCCATCTCTGGCTTGATGAGCTGATGTGATGGAGAGGAGGGGTGCGGTTGGGTTGGGTTGGGTGGGGTGGGGTGGGGTGCAATTAAAGGGAGAGAGAAAGGGGGGGACTGAATGCAGCAGCCTTGACTTTGTTCAGCAATCGCTCCATCTCTGGCTTGATGAGCTGATGTGATGGAGAGGAGGGGTGCGGTTGGGTTGGGTTGGGTGGGGTGGGGTGGGGTGCAATTAAAGGGAGAGAGAAAGGGGGGGACTGAATGCAGCAGCCTTGACTTTGTTCAGCAATCGCTCCATCTCTGGCTTGATGAGCTGATGTGATGGAGAGGAGGGGTGCGGTTGGGTTGGGTTGGATGGGGTGGGGTGGGGTGCAATTAAAGGGAGAGAGAAAGGGGGGGACTGAATGCAGCAGCCTTGACTTTGTTCAGCAATCGCTCCATCTCTGGCTTGATGAGCTGATGTGATGGAGAGGAGGGGTGCGGTTGGGTTGGGTTGGATGGGGTGGGGTGGGGTGCAATTAAAGGGAGAGAGAAAGGGGGGGACTGAATGCAGCAGCCTTGACTTTGTTCAGCAATCGCTCCATCTCTGGCTTGATGAGCTGATGTGATGGAGAGGAGGGGTGCGGTTGGGTTGGATTGGATGGGGTGGGGTGGGGTGCAATTAAAGGGAGAGAGAAAGGGGGGGACTGAATGCAGCAGCCTTGACTTTGTTCAGCAATCGCTCCATCTCTGGCTTGATGAGCTGATGTGATGGAGAGGAGGGGTGCGGTTGGGTTGGGTTGGATGGGGTGGGGTGGGGTGCAATTAAAGGGAGAGAGAAAGGGGGGGACTGAATGCAGCAGCCTTGACTTTGTTCAGCAATCGCTCCATCTCTGGCTTGATGAGCTGATGTGATGGAGAGGAGGGGTGCGGTTGGGTTGGATTGGATGGGGTGGGGTGGGGTGCAATTAAAGGGAGAGAGAAAGGGGGGGACTGAATGCAGCAGCCTTGACTTTGTTCAGCAATCGCTCCATCTCTGGCTTGATGAGCTGATGTGATGGAGAGGAGGGGTGCGGTTGGGTTGGGTTGGATGGGGTGGGGTGGGGTGCAATTAAAGGGAGAGAGAAAGGGGGGGACTGAATGCAGCAGCCTTGACTTTGTTCAGCAATCGCTCCATCTCTGGCTTGATGAGCTGATGTGATGGAGAGGAGGGGTGCCGTTGGGTTGGATTGGATGGGGTGGGGTGGGGTGCAATTAAAGGGAGAGAGAAAGGGGGGGACTGAATGCAGCAGCCTTGACTTTGTTCAGCAATCGCTCCATCTCTGGCTTGATGAGCTGATGTGATGGAGAGGAGGGGTGCGGTTGGGTTGGATTGGATGGGGTGGGGTGGGGTGCAATTAAAGGGAGAGAGAAAGGGGGGGACTGAATGCAGCAGCCTTGACTTTGTTCAGCAATCGCTCCATCTCTGGCTTGATGAGCTGATGTGATGGAGAGGAGGGGTGCGGTTGGGTTGGATTGGATGGGGTGGGGTGGGGTGCAATTAAAGGGAGAGAGAAAGGGGGGGACTGAATGCAGCAGCCTTGACTTTGTTCAGCAGTCGCTCCATCTCTGGCTTGATGAGCTGACAGGAGAGGGGTGGGGTGCGGTTGGGTTGGGTGGGTTGCAATCCAAGGGAGAGAGAAAGAGGGGGCGCAGACGGCAATAAGGAGTCAAACGAAGAGCTTTGACTTTGTTCAGCAGACGCTCCATTTCCGGCTTGATAAGCTGCTGTGATGGAGATGTGGGGTGCGGTTGGGTTGGGTGGGTTGCAATCCAAGGGAGAGAGAGAGGGGGGATTGAATGCAGCGGCCTCGACTTTGTTCAGTAGACGCTCCATCTCCGGCTTGATGAGCTGGTGGGGAAGAGTGGGGTGCGGTTAGGTTGGATTGAAAAGGGCAGACAGTGGGGTGCAGAGAGTAAGTTGCAGAGGACGATGATGAACCCCACTGTGCGGAGGGCGACACAGCAGGGCAGAGGGGTGGATGCATTAAGAAATGTTTTTGAGTCGACTCAAAAACATGCAGAGGGGTGGATGCATTAAGAAATGAAAGGAATTGAAACAGCGGGTAATTGAATGCAGAATGAAAGGAGCAGCCGGGATGAAACAGAAATGGAGCATTTGCGGGCTTCGGAATGAATACACGTTGTATGGATTGCCACAGATTGCATTTAGAAGGAAATTCAAGTATGAATGTAATGTACTGGCAATGTTAGCTCGACTCGCAGTCATTGATAACTCACACCCCAACAATGCTGACTCACCGCCATCTTGACCGTTGATCTGACTTGGTAGATGAATGCAGGCAGCAGAATGAGCCTGATCCCCACTGTTGCTGCTGCTATAGAAAGCCACCTGTGATTATAACGAGAGGGTCACAATAACGGGGTGTAAAGGCTAGCCTGATTCCCATTGCCTTCACCATTCCCATTGTAAAGGCTCGCCTGATCAAAATTAATGGTGTACAAAGGAGGTTACCCTCTGTGGCCTGCCACGTCATGCACAACAATGCTTTGGGCAAGGGCGAATAACCACATGACACGTCACTCACTCACCATGGCAGGCCTGCCACGTCATGCACTGCACCAATCAGCTGCTGCAACGCGGCAATGGGCGCCGAGCAGTGCGCCGCCGCCGCTGCCAGCTCAGAACCCACCGTCACCCCCACGTCCGACGTGGCAGCACTGATGACGTCAGCGGCACCATCGCCTAACACCGCGCCGCTGACGTCAGCACCAGAGGAAAGCGGCGCGTCAGACAAAACGGACTCGCTGCCTTCGCCGCTGGTACTGGCGCCAGAGGCGCCGCCAATCGCGGCGCCATTCGCGGAAGCAGCAGAGGAGTGAAACCCGGCGGCTCCGAAGACGAAGCTTCCTGGAGCGCTACGCGGAACAGGGAAAGTTGCGGGAGCGGAACGAAAGAGCGCGAGATGGGGCGGGGCGGAGGCGGAGGCGGCGGAGCGGAAAGGGGGGATGGGGCTGGCGGAAGAGGCGGAAAACGCGGGTGGCGCGGAAAAGTGGAACCGGGGGGCAGAAAATCCCGCCGATGCCTTATTCCACGGGGAAGGACCCTCTAGTGCGGGGCTGGCGGCGCAAGAAGCGGACGAGATTGGCGACGCGGCCCTGTGCTGACGAGGATCTGCTGACGTGGCTATGCTAGGCTCATCACAAGATTCGCGATCAGAAGATTCGACTCTCGGGATGAGATCGAGTCTGATCGTGCCCAACAGGCCAGTCTGATAACGATGGTCCCATCTGGACGGACCAGATCCACCGATCAGCCCTGCTCCGTCATCACAGCCGTTGATACTAATCGTGGAACAGCCACCGCGAAAACCGGCGCTGCTGGAGCTGGTAGCGGCACCACTAGTGCAGGCCGTGCGTTCCGAGCAAATCGCACGGTTCCAGACTCCGAAGGCGACACCACCGTGGCGGGTGTCGGGACGCGATCCACGGCGGCAGAGCCGCTGGAGGAGGTGGAACCGCGTCATAGGACGAGTCGGCGGAATGGGTTTGCGGATTCCTGTCGGCTTGCTTTTGTGACGAGCTGATTCGCTAGAAGCATCTGGTCTGAACACGAGCTTCCACGGGCATCGAGTGGATGTAAGTTATTTGTGTAAAACTACAACAAATATACTCCCTGGAGAACAAATGACACACACACAAATTAAACGAGTGCGACTACTTGCATGGTAATAATTTGTTGCTATTGGCGCTTTGCATGCGAAGGAAGGAGCAGATCCGAGGCATCACACACAAAGCCCAGTTTGTACATTAATTCTTCGAGGCGGGGTGGATTGGTGAGGTAGAGGAACCCAATCTGAGAAGGGCAAGGGAAGGGAAAAAAACAAAGGGAAAACACAACACAACAAAATTAAGGGTGAACATTTATGTTGGCAAAAAAAAAAAAAACTTGTACAAATCACAGCACAAGACGGTAATCTGCGGCAAAAGCAACTCAAACTGTATGTTTTACTGCTAGTGCTCGAATTTCAGGTGTTGAAGTGTTTGAAGATTCACTTGAGATTCACACTCACAAGTGTTTGAAGTGCAGTGGCGTTGGCATACACCGCGGATCCATCCCTCCAGTGACATTGACTTGTCCCAAAGGTCGCCTGAATCAATACAATCAGCCAATCGAGAGTCATATCACTCACCAGTGTTTCAAGTGCAGTAGCGTTGGCATACACAGTGGATCCAGCCCTCCCCTTGGCCTTCCTAGCACCTGTGGAGGCGTTGCCACCCCACCGCACCACGTCCCTGCATGGCATTGAATATCCAGTTATACAATCACCGAACAACTAATTTAGGCCATCACTCACTACGGTATACTCTTGTGACTAAGACGCACCTGTTCAGTCAATGCATCCCCATGCATCCCCACAGCATCCCTAAAGCATTTAAGTTTACATGGTCCCTCCCTCCCGGGCTCTCTGCCCCTCTTACAAGAAAATTGCGCACACACACACCCAAGCTTACAGCCACACACACCAATGCCTACAAACACAGCCATAGACGTGCACATGCATTTAAATACACAGTAAAAGCACAGCCACGGACGTGCTTTACCCAAACGCATGTACGAGTGAAATGAATTTCCAGACGCAGACGTGCACCCGCACACATGCATGCATGTACAGACAACCCTAGACATTGACATAAATGTGCACCCGCACACATGCATGCATGTACAGACAACCCTAGACATAGACATAAATGTGCACCCGCACACATGCATGCATGTACAGACAACCCTAGACATTGACATAAATGTGCACCTGCACACATGCATGCATGTACAGACAACCCTAGACATTGACATAAATGTGCACCTGCACACATGCATGCATGTACAGACAACCCTAGACATTGACATAAATGTGCACCTGCACACATGCATGCATGTACAGACAACCCTAGACATAGACATAAATGTGCACCCGCACACATGCATGCATGTACAGACAACCCTAGACATAGACATAAATGTGCACCCGCACACATGCATGCATGTACAGACAACCCTAGACATAGACATAAATGTGCACCCGCACACATGCATGCATGTACAGACAACCCTAGACATAGACATAAATGTGCACCTGCACACATGCATGCACACACCTTTCTTCCTCTGTGAGCATCTTTGAGGAGGTCAATCGCCGCAGCAAAGGCATCACTTACCATGGTATACCCCCACACCCACAGCATTCCTAAGACTCACATACAGACTCTCACACACACATGCATGCATGCATGCACGTACCTTTCTTCCTCTGTGAGCATCTTTGAGGAGGTCAATTTCCGCAGCAAAGCATCCTGCAAGGAACGAATGCATGTGTGCGGTGCACTGATGATTATTAAGTCGACTTACATGGATCCAGCAAGCACCCAATGCATGCGCGTTTCGAAGACTAAGTGACTAATCATTCAGTTCCCAACTGGGCCTCTCCGCCAGCAGCACATGTGACTGTTGGCGGTATGGGGATTGCCATTTGATGTTTGCGGGTCTGTGAGTGCCACTGTGTGTGTGGAAGGAGCGGGAGGGGTGGGGGGTGGGCACGTGCACATGCACATACGTGTGCCAAGGCAGCCAAGCCTCACCTGGGCCTCACAGCAGACAACAGCCGTAACTCGTTGGCAATACGTGGCGATAGCAGATGGGGGATTCAAAAAGTGCCGTCGTGCATACAGCTGAGAAAAAGGGAAGAGGACAGGAGGAAGGGACAAAGGGACGTTGGAGGGCCACTAATGCCACAATAGACGATGATATGCACGCACAGCTGAGAAACGAAACGTAAACCAAGGGAAATGCGTTAGAGGACGAAGGGGAGAAGTGGATAAGAGAGTTGAACACAAGGGGTTTGCCTTGGGAGGAAGAGAGGGAAAAGAGGAAGGGGAGGGAAAAGGAGGGGGGAAGAAAATGAAGGAGACGGGAAAAGGGAAGGGGGGGCGCGAGGAGGGGGTTACAAAAGAGGTGAATGGGAAGAGACGGGGGGGTGGAGAAGAAAAAGGGGGGAGTGGGGAGAAGAGGAGGGGAGGGGAGGGGAGGGGAGGAGGGGGGTGGGGAGTGGGGGAATGGAGGGGGGGTTTGAGGGGGGGTGCTGAAGAAGACAGCAAGAAAATAGCACGAGTATCATAAGTACCAACTCCCATCCCCAATATGCAATGCGCCCTAGGAAGGGTCGGCTGCCTTCGGGCGTGCACAGACTGGCCCTAGCAAAAACAAATCGTGTAGGCATGTGAGCACAACCTGTAACGTCTAAAAAACGATTGTTGCTGGAAAATTTACCTTAAAACGCGACAACTCACTTCATAGATTCCATCCCCGATATACGCCAGCATGGCTGCGTTGTGAGTTGCTCGAGGCCTGGGCACGTCCGGCGGCGGAGGAAGCCAAACCCTAGGATCAGACACATCCAACGGCTGAGACGGGGTTACTGAATCATCCAACGGCTGCGACGCAGCGTTGGGAGTCAGCCGCTGGTTCACGTATAATGCAGTCGACCCTCTGCGTCCGGTAGTAGCAGACTCGTTACTAGTTCCACGCCCAGCTCCTGATTCAGCATTTTCAACTGTGCCCGGATTCGGCTGTTTTTTCCTTCTTCTGCGACCTCCAGCAACCCCGTTACCTCCCGGCGCTGCTGCAGCCGAACCTAACTGGGCCTCAGGTCCGGCCGAACCAACCACACGACTTTCCGTGGCTGTACTGCCTGAGGTGCCGTTCACTGGACCAGACTTGGATCTGGCATTCTCAGGAGCGTCATTCCCTGCAGCATTCCACGTGGTACTTCGTATTGGAACGGCTTCTGCGGGAAGCATATTATTCTGCGAGGCCTTTTCTGTAGCGACATTTACGATGTTCCTTCCAGGTAATGCAGGTTCCGTGGCTGTGGCACGTCCCTCCACAGCGGATTTCGTATTGGGATCTACCGAAGCCGGACCCCACGGCCATGATTGAGCACGCGGAATCTGGACGGTCAAGATGAAACGTCTTGATTCGACTTTGCGCTCTGCCTGAACCCACGGAGAAGGAGGTAGGTTTGACTTGGAACTGAGACCAAAATTCTGTTTAGAGATCTTAGCTGTAAAATGAGCACAGATACTCGAAGGCGGGCCCAAAGCGTGAAGCATCGCGGCGCTGTTGATCAAACGCAGAGGAAGTTAACGCCCGAAGGCCATTCGCTTTAGAATACGTTAGAATACTATTCATGAGGCACGTCTTGGACTGCAGACTAACCTTTCAGGCGGTCATAAGGGCAAGCAAGTCCGCCGTGAAATTTACAATCAAGGAACAGGGTAGAAGGCATATGCAGTGCGAAACTCGGGTCAACTGACGTACCACGCACATGACAGTTGCGGGAGTTTGTCCTCGTTGCCGTGAAATTGTCACTTGTATCCCATTCGTGTCAGAAATTGCTCCGGGTTTCACACGAGAAACAGAAATCTCCTCTGCTTGTTCCAAATTTCAACACCAGCTACGCTGTAGGTACGACCTAGCTCGGAATCCTCAGAGAACTGCAATTCCAAGCCTCCGCGGCTGTACGTACCTGCTTCGGAAACCCTCGTCTTGATTCTGGGTGGTTGCCACACGAGTGTCAAACGGCTACCAGGTTTTCCCGCCAATTTCTCGAACCACATAAGTTGACGGCACCGCGACCCCCAGGCACGGAACAACCAAGAGCCACACCAGCCCGTGTGGTTCGGATGGCATCGCATGGCATGCAATGCGATTGCGTCCATCAATTGCGTCTGCACTGAATGTGCAATATTTCACTCCTTCCCGTCAGCTTGGGGGCCATTCCGTCAAGTCAGCATCCCCCCAGAGAGAAAACAGACAACTGGGAGAACAGGCAGACACAGCATCCCCCAAGAAAGCGCATTCTACGCGGAGATGATGCTCTGCTCTCAAGCATCCCTCTCATTTCCAGTTGCCCCTTGACAAATCACCTTACCTAACCGAACCACTTCACCACCACGCACCAGCAACTTGGGACGTACAGTATCTCACAGAACCAACCAGAACCATCATGAAGAAAGGCATCATCTGCATCTCGCAACCAAGGCCAGAGTCCTTCAAATACGCCAGGTCCCTCATTTGCATTGCAGCCATTCCGTTGTAAGGTCATCAGATCGAAGCATTTCAACCTCATCACAAGATTTCTATCTGAACCAAGAAGCCATCACCCGTCTACTCTTGCCTATCATCAATCTCCTTTTCTTTCGCTACATTCTTGCTAACAACCTTCTTGGCTCTACCCTAATATTTCGAAATATTAATAGTAGCTCGAGTTGAGATTTCTCTGTGAGCTACTCTTACGATAATCATGTCGGCTCTTGTTTGCGGAAAGCGTTCGGTTTTCGACGACAGCGTTTACGTCCCATCCCCTCCATTGACGAAAAGAACCAGACGCAGTCATCAAACTTTTGCTCACAAGGTTCCTTTGTCTGCAAATCCATTCCAGCAGACACCAATTCAGCAGCAGCAACAGGAATCAGAAGGAGCTTTCGCGTCAGATCCGAGAATTGGAGGTTCATTTGGAGGCGCGGAAGAATTGCAGGAAAGATCTAACCTGGAAGTTTGCCCATCACAGACTCCATTCATTCATTCAGGCCATCATGGATGCGCAACTGCATCTGATCGCATGTCAGCAGAAGCTGATGCACGAAAGTCAGCCGCAGATGAAGCACAGAGAGCGGAATCGGCAGGTCTGACTGCAAAATGGGCAGACGCAGCAGTGCGGGAGATGATGACAGCAGCAAGCGTGGACGACGCTCGACAGAAGGCGTTACTTGTGCTGCAAGCTTTCGAGAAGGAGGCTATGGATGCTAAGCAGCTGGATCAATCGACTGCTTTTGCAATTCACGCGGAACAGGTATGCAGGAAGCTTGAGGTTCGTGCGTGTCCATGTCTGAAGGCTACATTTTTTTTTTGTTGACAGCGAGCCCTTTTTACTGTAGTCTCGAGTCTGAATGTCGTTTTCACCTTTGCTTCTATTTGCAGGCACGTCAATCAGCCTCAGAAGTTCAAGTGCTACAGCAGCAAGTGGGTGTATTGAGCAAGGAGAACCAGATTTTGAAGCGAGCAGTGGCGATCCAGCACGAGAAGCAGAAGGAGCATCAGGCGCAGATCGAGGAGGTTGGGAAGTTGAGACAAGCGCTGGCCCAGTATCAAGAACAAGTGCACAAGCTGGAGGTAAGCTATGCTCTGAACCAATCTAATATGTTTTCATACCACTTCCGAAATTGAGATTTCTTCTTTGCATTGTCTTTTTTTTGTGATTGACAAAGTTCTCACCCGTTTTCCGTTTGATGTGCAGGTGGCTAACTACGCCCTCAACCTCCACCTTCGCCAAGCCAATGATGCTGTGAATCATGCAGCTATGTCAGGCCGCTTCCATCCTGATGTCTTCTAGTTCTCCTGGCACCACTACTATCTGTTGCCTTAGTCCGGCCTGAGGTCTTTCTACCTGGCTCTTGCAGGTTGCTTGTTCTTCTCGTAGTGTCCTTCGCTGGGAAAGTGTCCAACGTTCAGTGATGTTTGCTGTACGATTCACAGCAGTTAGTGCAGAGAATTCAAGTAATGAGCTACCCTAAATGTTATTCATTTATGGTTGACAAGTTTCTCCTTTCTTAACTCATCAAAAGTTACAATAACTAACCATGTTCCACTGTAAAACCGGTGCGATTTTACCGATACTTTGTTCAGCCCACTTCTATGTAAACACAACCGAACGTGTTACAAACGAGTACAGAACCCATCTTGCTTGATAGCTCGCCCCCTCAAAAGGCGGCCTGACAGCATTTGTCAGTCACAAATGAAGTGCAGGGGAAGCTGGCGATGTCAGTCACTCGTTCTTCAGCCTTTCAGTGAGCTCTAGGCTCGAGGCCCAAACACGCTACTCAGTCGTTGCCTTTTATTTAGCTCCGAAGGCCTAGTGCAGGAATAGGTCGCTCGCGTTGCAGAGTGCTTTTATTAGCTTTTAAGTTGTATTGTGTAGAAGCGCACAGCACGGTATTCTACTGCACGAGGCAAACCCGAATTTGAGCAGCTGCTTCGCAGTTTTGAATCGTCCTTTTCCTAAAAAGGCGATTAGCGTATTAGGCGACTGTATTCCTGTTGGCGAGTTAAGACTCAGAACTATTGATTGAGTCGGCAAGCGAGATTCGTCGACGAGTCTTGATAGTAAGGACCTCTGATACCAGCAAGAGCTAACCTCAGCTGGTAGCTTGAGACGTTAACGTAACCCCACCGAAGACTGACTGCGATTATAATATCCGCGTTAAAGGCGGTGGCGAGGGTCGTACAGGGATCGGAGATGTGTTTAGCGACTCACACTCGGAACACGCCTACTGGCTAGTAAGGCGCGACCAGGCTGGAAAGCTTTTGATTCGGACTGAAAAGCTACCAACACGAAAGTTGGCGAAATTGGCGAAGTGATGATGAAAAGTGGACTGGAGATTGCGGTGCTCAGAACCGATTACTAACCAAGTGCATAGGTTATTGGATTCTAAACGGTTAGATAAACGCTTTATTAAAATCGAGGTGTTGACGACGGTGACAGAAACAGAACAGGAGCCGAAACGCTTCAAGTGTTACAGGAGAAGGGGAAGGTTACACGGTTACAGCAGCTGGCGAGCTACACAGTAACAGGAGTTGGTGCTTGGAGAATCGCAAGAGGAAATCATGACGGTGAAAGCGGAGCCTGAAGAGGAAGGTTTCTGAGGCGATTCAAAAATACATGGTGACATCGTGACAGGAGATGGCAGGAGGAGAATCGCGAGAGGGAATGATGACAGTGAAAGCGGAGCCTCAGGAGGGAGGGGTGCGTGTCGTGTTGACTCAAAGTACACGTGGAATGGTGACAGCGACTCAAAATACACCTGGAATGATGACAGTGAAAGCGGAGCCTGAAGAGGAGGGGGTGCGGGTGGAGAGGTGGAGGGGAGAGGGAGGGGAGGAGTCATCTAGTGAAGAAGTGATGGTTGTAGAGGAATATGTTGAAGTGGAGGAGGGAGAGGAAGGGGAGATGAGGGAGGAGGGGGAGGAAGTGGAAGAGGGAGAGGTGGGAGAGGAGGAAATAGAGGAGGGGGAGGAAGTGGAAGAGGGGGAGGTGGGAGAAGAGGAGGAGGAGGAGGAGGAGGAGGAGGAGGAGGAGGAGGAGGAGGAGGAGGAGGAGGAGGAGGAGGAGGAGGAGAGGAGGAGGAGGAGGAGGAGGAGGAGGAGGAAGAGGAGGAGGAGGAGGGAAAAGGGAGGGAGGTGGAGGAGCACGATGGGGGTCCTGTGAGGGTGAAAATGGATCCGGATGGATTTGAAACGGTTGCTGATCAACACGAGGTGGGAAAGAAGAGCAGGATTGGGAAGGACGATGTGGAAACTGGGGGTTCTGAGACGTCTCAAAACACTTCTTCAAACACGTGGGTTCTCGTGAAGTGAGGGTGAAACAAGAGCCAGCTCTACCTGAAGCGGAAGAGGACAAATCTGATCATTGTCATGAGGAGGAAAAGAGTAGGGGGCTTGGGAGGGCGAACGGGAAGATGGATGGAAGAACGGATGTGGGCGCTGGTGGAGGGAAGGGCAAGGCTGTGGCTGTCACAGCGACTGATGCAAGGCAGGAGGCAAAGCTTAATGCCCGCACAGGGATGGGTGTTGGGGAAAGGGAACGGAGAAAAGGGGGGTGGCAGTACGGGCTGGGTGTGCTTGGAATTGCAGGCTTGGATGGCAGGGGGAACACGCAGAAAGGCAAGACTGTGCAGAGTGGGCCCGTCTGTGCTGCTAGAGGGAATCTGGCAGATGGACGAGCAGGGCTGGGAGATTCATGCTCGGATGGCAGCGGCAGCAGCATGCAGAAAGGGAAGCGTGGAGAAAGTCTGACCGGCCCCCCTGCCTTCCCTGCCAGCCCTGCCAGCCCAGCCAAAAGTGGGCTGCCGGTGGGACAAACAAGGCTGGGAACACTGCAGGGTGCAGGCTCGGATGGCAGTGGTGGCTTGGATGGCAGTGGTGGCTTGGATGGCAGTGGTGGCTTGGATGGCAGCAGCACGTATAGAGGGAAGAGTGTAGAGAGTGTGCCTATTGGCCCTGCCAGGCCTGCCAGGGAGCAGCCTTTGGAGGCTGGAAGAACGGGGCTGGGAGCACTGGGGATTGCAGGCGTGGTGGCGGTTCAGAAAACATCTCGGGGTGTGGATTCGACGGGTGCAGTTGGAGAAAGGAGGGCTGTGTGTGTGTCAGGTTTGAGAAATCTCACAAGTGACACAGATGCGGCGGCGGTTCAGAATACATCTCGGGGTGTGGGTTTGATGGGTGCAGCTGGAGAAAGGAGGGCTGCTGTGTGTGAGTCAGGTTTGAGAAATCTCACAAGTGACACAGATGCGGCGGCGGTTCAGAATACATCTCGGGGTGTGGGTTCCATGGGTGCAGCTGGAGAAAGGAGGGCTGCTGTGTGTGAGTCAGGTTTGAGAAATCTCACAAGTGACACAGATGCGGCGGCGGTTCAGAATACATCTCGGGGTGTGGGTTTGATGGGTGCAGCTGGAGAAAGGAGGGCTGCTGTGTGTGAGTCAGGTTTGAGAAATCTCACAAGTGACACAGATGCGGCGGCGGTTCAGAAGACATCTCGGGGTGTGGGTTCGATGGGTGCAGCTGGAGAAAGGAGGGCTGCTGTGTGTGAGTCAGGTTTGAGAAATCTCACAAGTGACACAGATGCGGCGGCGGTTCAGAAGACATCTCGGGGTGTGGGTTCGATGGGTGCAGCTGGAGAAAGGAGGGCTGCTGTGTTTGAGAAATCTCACAAGTGACACAGATGCGGCGGCGGTTCAGAAGACATCGCGGGGTGTGGGTTCGATGGGTGCAGCTGGAGAAGGAGGGCTGTGCGTGTGAAGGAGGAGGCAGTGGAGTTAGAGGGGGAGGGGATGAGGAGTGTTGTTGCTCATGCGGTAACCACATCGGGTGGTGGTGGTGGTGGTGGTGGTGGTTCTGCTTCTGTTGCGGTAACCACATCAGGTGCTGCTGCTGCTGCTGCTGCTGATAATAACCACATCAGGTGCTGCTGCTGCTGCTGCTGCTGATAATAACCACATCAGGTGCTGCTGCTGCTGCTGCTGCTGATAATAACCACATCAGGTGCTGCTGCTGCTGCTGCAATAACCACATCAGGTGCTGCTGCTACCACTCTAGATGCTGCTGCCGGATCAGGTGTATCCAACTCAGATTTCACCCAAATGCGCATGAGACGCTGTAGTGCGGAGGCGAATAAGGTGAATGTGTGTGTTAAGGGTGCAAGTGCCATTGGTGCAAGTGCCATTGGTGCAAGTGCCATTGGTGCAAGTGCCATTGGTGCAGGTGTTGCCAGTGCAAATGCTATGGGTGTAAGTGTTCTCGGTGCAAGTAATACTGGTGCACGCGTTAGTGCTCTGTGTGTGCTTGGGGGAGGGCGAACAATGGAGGGAGCAGGAGCACCATGCGTCTTGCAAGGGAGTGGGGATGGAAGAGTGAAGGAAGAGCCACTGGAGTTGGGTGAAGGGGGGATGGGAGTGATAGGATCTGAGGTGAATAGATTGAGGGGTATGGATAGAGCAGGTGAAAGGGAGAAGGAAAAGGAGGAGGAAGGGAGAGTGGTGCGAGGTAGTGGGGATGGTGGAAAGGTTAAAGGAGGTGGGTGGTGGGGGAGAGGGAGTGATAGGAACTGCAGTGAATGGGATGAGTGGTAAGAACAGACCGGAGGAAGGGGAGGAGGAAGGAAGAGAAGAAGGGGAGGAGGAAGTGGAAGAGGGGGAAGAGATTGAAGAGGGGATGGATATGGGAGAGGAGGAGGAGGAAGTGGAGGAGGGTGAAGTGGGGGAAGATGGAGAAGAGGAGGAAGAGGAGGAAGAGGAGGAAGAGGAGGAAGAGGAGGAAGAGGAGGAAGGGGAGGTGAGAGAAAGCGAGGTGGAGACGGACGAAGAGAGCAATGAAGGGGTAGCAGGTAGGGATGGGGCGGAAGAGATTTCTGAAGCGCGGCATGAGTTGGAGGTGAGAGAGGAGAGGGAAGGTCGAAACCCGGAGATGGATGCAGAGTGGGATGAGAGAGATGCAGAGTGGAATGAGAGAGGAGGTACGGGTGGTGAGCAAGGCCGAGGGGGAGAGAAGGTGGAGAAGGGAGTGGTAAGAGAGGAGAGGGAAGAGGAGAGAGAAGCGGCGGGAGAAATGGAGGGAGAAGAGGGGAGAAAACAGGAGCAGGGAGGAGAGGGTGAAGAGGGAGAGGAGGGAGAGGACGGGAAGGGGAGGGAGGAGGTGGAAGAAGGAAAGGAGAGGCAGGAGGAAGGGGAGGCGCAGACAAAGCATTGGCAGGTGAAAGAGGAAGAAACAGTGGAATTGAGAGGGAGAGTGGAGGAGAAAGAGGGCTCTGGAAGGGCGTGTGAGATGGAGAAAAATGATGGCGAGAAGGGCGAGGAGGGAGAAGGGGGCAACGGGGAAGAGAGAGAGGAGGAGGAGGGTCAGGTACAGCAGCGGCAGGCAGAAGCAGTTGAAGTGAGAGGGAGAGTGGAGGTGAGAGAGGGCTGTGGAGGTGCGTGTGAGATGGAGAAAAATGATGGCGAGAAGGGCGAGGAGGGAGAAGGGGGCAACGGGGAAGAGAGAGAGGAGGAGGAGGGTCAGGTACAGCAGCGGCAGGCAGAAGCAGTTGAAGTGAGAGGGAGAGTGGAGGTGAGAGAGGGCTGTGGAGGTGCGTGTGAGATGGAGACAGACCGTGGGAAGCAGGGCGAGGAGGGGGAAGAGGGGGAGAAGGGTATGGGGAAGGGAGAGAGGGGGAAAGGCAAGGGGGAGGAGGACAGTAGGACGAAGCACCAGCAGGCAGAAGAAGAAGAGGAAGCAGTGGAAGTGGAACGGAGAGTGGAGGAGAGAGAGGGCTGTGGAGGGGCGTGTGAGATGGAGACAGTCGGTGGGAAGAAGTGCGAGGAGGGCAAGAAAGGGGAGGAGGGGGACGAGAAGGAGGGCGAGGAGAGGGAGGAGGGGAAGGGGAAAAGGGACTCGGAAAGGGAGGAGGTGAGGGTCAGAGGGGAGATGAGTGGAGGGGAGAAGATGAGTGGAGGGGAGATGATGAGTGGAGGGGACAAGAGTGCGTGCAAGGGGGTTGATGAGCAGAGAGGAATGGTAGGGCAGGGAGGTTCAGGAGAGCCGGAGGGCGAAGAAGCGGAGAAAGCAGAAGCATCTGATCAAGAAGCAGGTGAAGCAGCAGGAGGGGGAGGAGAAGGGTTTGAAGGAGAAGCAGGGGATCACAACACTGTGGCAGGGGATCACAACACCCACAAGACAGCTTCTGAGGCAGCAGCAGCTCAAAAGGCTCAAAACTCCCACAACTCCCACACGACTTATGAGGCGTCCCAAAATCCAGCCTCCGGCACAACACCTCAGAAGGCTCAAAAAACAGTCTCCCCTCCTAAGGCTCCTAGGCTTTCAAAAGAGTTGAACCGGTTGCTTCACGACGCGTGCAAGTCAGCGGAGCAGGCAGCAGCTGCGGTGTCCTCCCGGAAAGCACAGGCCGCCCTGGTGGCCGCTTGGCATGCCCAAACGGCTGTGGTATCATCGCCCTCACGAGAGAATGCTGGGGATGCTCGAAACAGGCACGCAAAGGTTGCTGTTTCAACCTCTCGGCATGCGCAGACTGCTGTGGCGTCATCATTGCGAGAGGATGCTGGGGATGCTCGAAACAGGCACATACAGACTGCAGTGGAGCTGTTGTCAGAAAAAAAATCTGGGAATTCTCAGAAAGCACGTGCACAGACTGGTGTAGAGTTTTTGTCGCGGGGAGAAGTGGCAGGGAGGGAGGAGGAGGGAGGAGGAGTGGCCGAGGGGAATGGAGTGGAGGGAGAGGGGGTTGAAGCGAGAGGAGGGGAGGAGGTGTGGGGGGGAGATGCGCAATGTGAAGATTACTGCTTTGTGTGCTACGATGGCGGTGCCCTCGTGGCGTGTGAGAAGAGGTGAGTGGGATGTGAGAAGAGGTGAGTGGGATGAGAGAAGAGGTGAGTGGGATGAGAGAAGAGGTGAGTGGGATGAGAGAAGAAGTGAGTGGGATGTGAGAAGAGGTGAGTGGGATGAGAGAAGAAGTGAGTGGGATGTGAGAAGAGGTGAGTGGGATGAGAGAAGAAGTGAGTGGGATGTGAGAAGAGGTGAGTGGGATGAGATTGGTATACATGGGATGAAGGGACATGTGAGGTGAGGAGAGGTAGATATGTGGTGTGAAGGGAGATGATGTGGTGTGAAGGGAGATGATGTGGTGTGAAGGGAGATGATGTGGTGTGAAGGGAGATGATGTGGTGTGAAGGGAGATGATGTGGTGTGCGAGGACTACTGCTTTTTGTGCTACGATATGGGTGACTTGGTGGCATGTGAAAGAAGTGAGTGTGAGATGATCTGTGAGAGGTGAGTGCGAGGTGAGAGAGCTGATAGGTGGGATGAAGGGCGACATTAGAGGTGGGGTGCCAGTAATTCATCATAGGCTGTTGTTGGTGGCGTACAGACCTCCATTATTCTCTGCAAACCCTAAACCTTTTTTTTTCTTTGATGATTCAGGGGCTGCCCCAAGGCGTACCATCCGGAGTGCACTGGGCTCCCCGAGAAGGTTTTTGAGTCTTCTGCCCCTTGGACTTGTGGTGGGTGGTGCTGCTGATTAGTCACCTTTTGAGTCGACTCAAAAATCAAAGGTTTTTGAGTCTTCTGCTCCTTGGACTTGTAGTGGGTGGTGCTGATTAGTCACCTTGGATGGATGCTGCATAAGTAGTGTGGTGTGGCACATACCCTCAGTGTGGCACGCACTCCTGCTCCCGTGCCTGTTGTTGCTCCTCCCTCTTCCTCGGTCTACTTTGCCCGACCTTCCTTTGTCTTTCCTTCCGTCTCTGTGTGCACCCTTCCCTCGTTACCCCTCCCACCCTGTCCCCACCTTCCCCCCCCCCACAGTGTGGCACTCTTGCTCCCGTGGCTGTCGTCGCTCCTCCCTCTTCCTCTGCCTCCTCTGCCCCACCTCCCTCTGCTGGCGCTGCCTCCGCTTCCTTCATCTCCATGTCTGGATGGACCCTGCTTCTTCTGCCCGAGTGAAAAGAATCTGGACCTTGAAACTTTCCCGGGCAGCTCAGTTCGCTGCCCGGCTTGCTTGGGCAGGGTTTCGGGCTTGGAGGGAGGAAAGGGCAGGAGGCGAAGTGGGGAGGGGAGGCAGGATGGGGAGGAGGCGAAGGAGGCGGAGGGGAAGATTGGAGGATTGATTGTAGAGGTGCCTAAACAAGTGGTGGATGGGGATGGGAATGCGAGGGAAAAGTGTTTTGAGACGTCTCAAAACACTTTTTCAAACACGTTGTTTGTAGAGGTGCCTAAACAAATGGAGGATGGGGATGGGAAAGCGAGGGAAAAGGAGGTGGAGGGCGGAAGTGGGGATGGCATTCAAAAGGAAGAGGCGAGGAAGGAAGCGGAAGGTGGGAGGGAGAGGGAGCGGGGGAGCGAGAGTGTGCAGGAGAGGGAGGATGAGAAGGTGGGGAGGGATGGGGAGAGAGAGAAGCGGGGAGAGAGCACACAGGCACGGGAGGATAATGAGGACGAAGGGAGGGAAGAGAAAGAACAGGAGGAGGAAAGTGGAAAGGAGAAAGGGTTTTCGGAGGGAGGGAGTATCTGGTGGGGCAGGGAGGGCGAGGAGAGGAGGGAAGGGAATGTGGGGTGGATGCTGGAGCAACTGGAGGAAGGAGGGCGGAAGGTTCTGGGGCTGTGCGGCGCGTGCTATGTGAAGGTGGCGATGATTCAGCACGGCATTGAAAGGACCCCGACTGGCGTGAGTAGTGTTGTCTCCTCACCCCCACCCTGTGATTGCTCCTTCTGAGGTGAGGTGAGCTGTGTGGCACGTGCTATGTGAAGGTGGCGATGATTCAACACGGAATCGAGAGGACTCTCACTGGCGTGAGTGTTGTGTCCACACTCTCCCTCACACCACTGTACCGTGATAGGTTCAGATGGGTTCTGGGGCTGTGTGGCGTGTGCCGTGTGAAGGTGGTGAGCACGGCATTGTGATCCCGACTGGCGTGAGTAGTGTTGTTCTCTCAACCCCGCCCTGTGATCGTTCCTACTGAGGTGAGGTGGGCTGTGCGGAGCGCGTGCTATGTGAAGGTGGCGATGATTCAACACGGCATTGAGACGACCCCCACTGGCGTGAGTGTTGTCTCCTTACCCCCTTCCCTCGGCCAACTGGTTTAGCCCCTACTGAGGTGAGCTGTGCGGCGCGTGCTATGTGAAGGTGGTGATGATTCAACACGGCATTGAAATGACCCCCACTGGCGTGAGTAGTGTTGTCTCGTCAACCTCACCCTGTGATTGCTCCTTCTGAGGTGAGGTGTGCCGCTGGGTGCTATGTGAAGGTGGCGATGATGACTTTTGAGTCGACTCAAAAGTCACCTGATTCAGCATGGCATCGAGAGGACTCCCACTGGCATGAGTTTTTCCTCTCCTTTGTGTTTTTCCTCTTGTTTGTGTTTTTTTCTCTCTATATCTCTCACAGAGAGTCCTAGACTCCAAGACATGGATGATACGGATTCCTCTGCGTGGTGCTTCTAGGACTATCACTTGGTGCTGCGCTTTGCTCTGGGATCATCGTTTTTCTTTCTCGATTTGTATCTCTCACAGAGGGTCCTAGACTCCTAAGCATGGATGATACGGATTCCTCTGCGTGGTGCGTCTAGGACTATCACTTGGTGCTGCGCTTTGCTCTGGGATCATCGTTTTTCTTTCTCGATTTGTATCTCTCACAGAGGATCCTAGACTCCTAAGCATGGATGATACGGATTCCTCTGCGTGGTGCTTCTAGGACTATCACTTGGTGCTGCGCTTTGCTCTGGGATCATCGTTTTTCTTTCTCGATTTGTATCTCTCACAGAGGGTCCTAGACTCCTAAGCATGGATGATACGGATTCCTCTGCGTGGTGCTTCTAGGACTATCACTTGGTGCTGCGCTTTGCTCTGGGATCATCGTTTTTCTTTCTCGATTTGTATCTCTCACAGAGGGTCCTAGACTCCTAAGCATGGATGATACGGATTCCTCTGCGTGGTGCTTCTAGGACTATCACTTGGTGCTGCGCTTTGCTCTGGGATCATCGTTTTTCTTTCTCGATTTGTATCTCTCACAGAGGGTGCTACACTCCTAAGCATGGATGACACGGATTCCCCTGCGTGGTGCTTCTAGGCTAGGACTATCACTTGGTGATCAGTCTCTCATGTATTCCGCCTCTCATCTCGCTCTCTCTGTGTCTCTGTGTCTATGTCTCTGTCCCTGTCTGTGCCTCTCACAGAGGGTTCTAGACATGGACGACACATTCTCCCCTGCATGGTATTTCAAGGACTATTACTCGGTGATGTGCGATCAGGAGTGGTTGGTGATCGACGTGGGAAAGGTCCCGGAAGACTGGGGTTCTCTCAGGGAAAGATGGCTGTGTGGGATCGAGCTGGGGATGTTGGGAGAGGAGGAAGAGGAGGTGGAGGGGGAAGGGGAGGGGGAGGGTGAGGGGGAGGGGGAGGGGGAGGAGGAGGGTGAGGGAGAGGGGGAGAGGGAGGGGGAGGGGGAGGGAGAGGGAGTGAAAGGGGAAGGTGGGGAAGCAGGGGAGGAGGAAGAGGGGGATGAGGAGGAAGAAGCGAGTGAGGAGGTAGCAGAGGGGGAAGATGAGGAAGATGAGGAATATGTGGAAGGAGGAGGAGAAGGAAGAGGAGGAGGAGAGGAGGGTGAAGGTCAAGGCGGGAGGGCAGTTGAATACTGGGAGCTGAGTGAAAGTGAGGATGATATCCTGGGAGGTGGTTCTGTGCTTCGGAGGAAGCATAGAGCAGCAGCAGCAGCAGTAGCTTCAGCAGCTGCAGCACAGGAGAAGGGCAAAGGGGTGGCGAGGAGTGACTACTTTGATTTGAGTGACAGTGGGAATGAGGGGGATGATATCCCATTAGCCAGGAAATGCAATGTACCTGTACGGCGTGGAAAAGCGGCTGCAGTCCCTGTTAGGTATAGAACCAGGCTCAAGATGTCTGGGGGCTTAAAGCCTGGTCCAGAGATTGGAGGAGTTGCAACAGAGGTTGGCGGAGGTTGGACCGCAGCAATGGAGGGAGCGAGAGTGCAAAGGTCGAAGCACGTTTCACCACAGCAGCAGCAGTTGCTGCTGCGTGGGGAGAAGGGGAAGTTTGTGAGTGTTTCGGGGTGTGAAGGTGGGGAAGGAGGGAGTTGGGTGAAGATGGGAAGAGGAGGTGGGAGGCGGGGTGCGGGGAGAGGTTTGGCGAGAGGCCGGGGGAGAGGATTGGCGAGAGGCTTGGGAAGAGGCTTGGGAAGAGGTTTGGGAAGAGGCTTGGAGAAAGGGTCGGGGAGAGAAGGAGTGGGAGGAGGAGGAGAGGGAGGAGGGGGAGGGGTTGGCTGGGATGCTAGTGATCCGGATTTTGTGCCTTGTTCTTTTGATGGTATGAAGAAGGGGAGTAAGAGGGGGAGAGAAGGAAGCAGAGGAAGAGGGTGGGGGAGAGGAGTGGGAAGAGGAGAGTGGGGAGGGGGGGGAGAGGAGCGTGGAGAGGAAGGGGAAGGGGAAGGGGAAGGGGGAGCAGAGGGGGGTTTGGAGGGGGGAGAGGAGGAGGGGGAGGGGGCAGAGGGAGTGGGGGTAGGAGAGGAGGGAGGGGAGGAGGAAGAGGAGGAGGTGTTGGTGGTCGTGGGTGGGGTGATAGAGAGGAGGAAGAGGAGGAGGATGACTTCTATGAGGAAGAGGAAGAGGAAGAGGAAGAAGAAGAAGAAGAGGAGGAAGAAGAGGAGGAGGGGGTGGAAGAGGAGGAAGAGCATGGGTTTAGAGGACAGAGGAGTGCTGGTTCTATGGATCGTGATGTTAATGATACACATGAGCATGGGCATGGGCATGAGCATGGGCATGGGCATGGGCATGGGCGTGCGGGGACAAGGGCTCAGCCAGCGGCTTTTGCATAGGCTTGGGAGCAGGCTTGGACATGAGCATGGGCATGGGCACGGGCACGGGCACGGGCACGGGCACGGGCACGGGCATGGGCATGGGCATGGGCATGGGCATGGGCATGGGCACGGGCATGGGCATGGGCATGGGCATGGTGATGCACATGCACATGCTCATGATGATAATGATGGAGGGGACGATGATGCAGCAGTGGAAGGGGCACCATACGCAACCATCAACGATCGCAACCTGTCCCAGATCTACCTGAAGCGCAGGCACATGGAAATGGCAGAGAGGCTCGGGTTAGAGAAGGCTGCTGAGCCGGGAGGAAGCTTGGAGAGGAGTGCAGAGGCGTTGAGAGGGATGCTGGTGGGCGGACTGGCTCGGCTGCGGTGTTCTGATGTGTTTGAAATGGTGAATGCGTCGGGATACAAGCTTGTCCTCATTACAAGTAAGTTTGTGCTTGTTACAAGCAATTTTGTCCTCGTCTCATCTATGATTGCCGACGTTACAACTTCTCTCCTGCTCGTTGTTACTGCTACTACTGGTAACGCAGTCCGGATGACAAAATGCACAATGCTTGTCAGCAATGGACCGTTGGTCTACGGAGGCCTAACTTGCATCGACTCGTGTTTTTTAGGACAATGAGGTGAAACTCTGCTACTACTATTAACCCAGTCAGTCCGGATGGCTGAATGCGCAATGCCCCTAACCTATCCATGCCCTACACTTGCCCATTCCTTGGCGTTTCCTTCCCCAGATGTTGAGTATTTCACGTCAGCAGCACCCAACCCAGACTTTGGTCCCCCAGGATTCAACTTGACCCAACAGCACCAGCACCACCAGCAGCAGCAGCACCAGCAGCATGTAATGCTGGTGACGGTGCTGGATGGCCGTAAGAACCGCCTGGACAGGTGCCGCATGGCGGAGTTTTCAGACGGAGCATTTTGCGCTCCGGAGGTGGCGGAGGTCAGAGAGTTGGTGCGACGAGGGTCACTGCCCCCCTTCTTCATGGTGAGTCGATCACAGGATGTGATGTTGGTAACGTTATTGGATAAGTGTAAACATTGGCATGCTAGGTGATTCGTGGCGGAGCCCCCAGACGGGGTGTTTCGACCTCCCGAGGTGGCGGAGGTCAACGAGTTGGTGCGACGAGGGTCACTGCCCCCTTCTTCATGGTGAGTCGATCACAGGATGTGATGTTGGTAACGTTATTGGATAAGTGTAAACATTGGCATGCTAGGTGATTCGTGGCGGAGCCCCCAGACGGGGTGTTTCGACCTCCCGAGGTGGCGGAGGTCAACGAGTTGGTGCGACGAGGGTCACTGCCCCCCTTCTTCATGGTGAGTCGATCACAGGATGTGATGTTGGTAACGTTATTGGATAAGTGTAAACATTGGAACGCTAGGTGATTCGTGGCGGAGCCCCCAGACGGGGTGTTTCGACCTCCCGAGGTGGCGGAGGTCAACGAGTTGGTGCGACGAGGGTCACTGCCTCCCTTCTTCATGGTGAGTCGATCACAGGATGTGATGCTGGTAACGTTATTGGATAAGTGTAAACATTGGCATGCTAGGTGATTCGTGGCGGAGCCCCTAGACGGGGTGTTTCGACCTCCCGAGGTGGCGGAGGTCAACGAGTTGGTGCGACGAGGGTCACTGCCTCCCTTCTTCATGGTGAGTCAATATCAGGATGTGATGTTGGTAACGATATTGGATGGTCATAATTGTCATCATAGGTGATGCGTGGCAGACGGGGTGTTTTGAGCTCCCGAGGTGTGAGAGTACGACGTTCATTCTTACCAGTTCTTATTCCCATTTTATATTTTGCATTTTGGTCTTAATTCCTAGTTCTACTATTGTTTTTTTAAGCTATCTCGAGTGATTTTGTGTGCTATTCTTTTTCGTTACGTCTATTATTTTTCTGTCCCGTTCTCGATGCTCGGAACCTTCTAGTAATACCCGAGTTACTGGTCTTGTGTCATGCACATATATATCACGACTTTGTACCCAAGTGATAATAATTGACTTTTAGTTAAAGCCTCGATCCCCACATGAGGTGGCGGAGATCAAAGAGCTGGTGCGACGAGGGTCTCTGCCTCCATTCTTCATATTGAGTTGTAAATCAGTGCTGTTGCCAGCACCATCACCACTAGCACCAGTAGTAGCAAAATAACCCTACGCAATATTGGCGAATGCCAATTTGCGGAAACGTCATCACGTGCTCTACATCCTTGCTGCGTAATGTGGACCACGTGCACATTGTTGTCTGTCGTGCAGACCTGCAACTACTTTGGTAGGTGACGTGCATGTGTGTAGTTCACCTGCCGTTGCGACGTTGACAAGCCGCCTTGTTGCTAGGCGGCGACAATGTTGTGCTTGACGTTGTTTGTGTGTTGCATGCACATCTAGTACGAATCATATGGGTAAATAGCGCATTTACTCTTGGTACCAACCGTATGGGTAAGTAACGCACTTACTCGTAGTACTAATTGTATGGGTAATTGACACAATTATTCTTAATACCAACCATATGGGTCAGTAACGCACTTACTCTTAGTACCAACCATATGGACTTCATACATCACCCACATCACCAAGAGACTTCACGAGCGCTACAGTCTGTTGCGCTAGATACCGAAGCTTTCGGATGTGTGCGAGGTGGCTCTATAACACGTTGTCGAACTACATCATCATCGAAGAGGAGTTCACACTCGAGTCCCTGGCTGGCGTAAGGAGAAGCTCCTCCCCCAAGTCAACTACATCGCACCGAGGCAGCAGGGACATCAGTAGGGGAGGCAAACCCTAAACCATTCATCGCTCTTGTGAACCGACACTCCCTTCCCCCGTCCCTCCCTCTCATCCCTTCTTTCCCAATCATCTCAGGACAAGTTGGAGGAGCAGGTGCGGAGCTGAGGCACCTAAACCTGCTTCCATCTCCTAAGCCTGAAACCCTGAACTCGAAACCCCTACAAACCAACGACCCCTTTCCCCCTCAAACCTCTCCCCACACCCCCCCAATCGCCTTCAGGACAAGTTGGAGGAGCAGGTGCGCCAGCTGAGGCAAGAACCCACCGCACCACTTGCTCCCCCTTCTTCTGAACCCTAAACTTGTAATTCCAACCTGAAACCCATGCAACCAATACCTTTCTCCCCCCCTCTTTCCCAACGTTCTCAGGACAAGTTGGAGGAGCAGGTGCGCCAGATAAGGCATATTTTCTTTGAGACGGTGAGTGTACTAATGTATATACAACATAGCTAAATAACACACGTACATGATATATATATACAACATATTCGTATAACACTGTCTCGAGATGGAGTTTTGATTTGAGACGTCTCAACGATAGTGAGTGTACTGTGTAGTCGAATTGCGCTTAAGAAGTGCCTGTAGTTGAAATAGCATGCGCTGCTGTTTTACATGCACCTCTGCATTCATTTTCAGTGAGGGCAGTGAGCGGATATCTTTGAGTGCACTCTCTGCTTCTAAACCCGGCTCGCTTTTTGAGACGTCTCAAAAGTCACCTCTGCAATTCATTTCCATGTGCACTTTATCTTTGAAACCCGGCACGCTTCCCTTGCTTCAAAACCCGGCACGCTTCCCTTGTCTCTTTTTTTGGTCGACTAATATTAGGCTCTGCAATTCATTTCCACGTGCACTTTATCTTTGAGTGCACTTTATCTTTGAGTGCACTTCATCTTTGAGTGCACTTCATCTTTGAGTGCACTTCATCTTAGAGTGCACTTCATCTTAGAGTGCACTTCATCTTTGAGTGCACTTCATCTTTGAGTGCACTTCATCTTTGAGTGCACTCTCTGCTTCTAAACCCGGCTCGCTTCCCCTCTCTTGTCTGTGCCTATGCACGCATACATGCAGGAGTACCATCAAACTCTGGAGCGAGTGCAGCAGCTGAAGAAAGCAAAAAAATATCCGCTCACTGCCCCCACTGCCCTCGTTCCCTTCACTCCCCTCACTGCCCTCACTGCCCTCGTTCCCTTCACTCCCCTCACTCCCTTCACTCCCCTCACTCCCCTCACTGCCCTCACTCCCCTCACTGCCCTTACTTCCCTCACTGCCCTGCATCATTTCGCACTCTCCTCCCTGCACTTGGTTTTGCTCACTCACTCGACCTCTCACACACACACATAGCTACTCACACACATAGCTACTCTCCTCAATCACTCGTCCACCCAATCACCCGTCCACTCAATCAAACCTCTGCGTGTCTCATCTCGTCCTTCTTCCCTTCTTGACCCCTTCATCCTCCCGCTTCCTGTTTCGCAATCATGTGCTTCTCTTAGTCTTATGCCCCGCTGCTGTTTCTCCTTAACCATTTCCCTGCACCTACCCTACCCTTCCTCTCTATCCCTCTATCTTGTCTCTCTCTTTCTTCTCCACCATTGCGTTCCCCTCCTCCATTCCCCCTTCTTTCCTCCCTTTCTCTCACCTTTTCTTTCCCCTTCCCTTGCTCTCTCTTTCTTCTTCTTCCCCCTCTTCTCAATTCCCCCTTTTCTTCTCTGTTTTCTTTTTTTCTCCTTTCTCTATTCTTTTCCTCTTTCTCTTTTTTTTTCCCATCTTCCCCGCACCACATTCGTGGAGTCTCATCGTCTCCTAATGGACATCCGGAGCCCAGACTACCGTCTCACCTTTCTCAACCGCCCCGTACTCCTTGATGTTGACGCTGACGGATCATCTGCCCCTAGACACCCGCCCTTGCACCCCTCTCTTGCCCCTCCCACCCAACCGCCTCCCACCCATCTGCCTCACACCCAACCGCTTCCCACCCAACCGCCTCACACACAACCCCCTACCACCCATCCGCCTCCCACCCAACCCCCTCACACCCAACCGCCTCACACCCAACTGCATCACACACAACCACCTCACACTCAACCACCTCCCACCCAACCTCCTCACACCCAACCTCCTCCCACCCAACCGCATCACACCCATCCGCCTCACACCCAACCTCCGCCCACCCAACTGCCTCACACCCAACTTCCTCCTTCTTCCGCCCATGCCCCCTCCTCCCAACCCCCTTCCTCCCAGCCCCCCTCCGCCCATCCCCCTTCCTACACCCCGCCTTCAACCCTTCACCCACATACCTCTCCTCCCCAACTGCCCCCTCCCCAACTGCCCCCTCCCCAACTGCCCCCTCCCCAACTGCCTCCTCCCCAACTGCCCCACCCCACATCCGCCCTCCCCACCCACACCCTCCTCTCAACCCACTCCCTCCCAAACCCCACCCGACCACCCATCCCTCTCCCTACCCCGCCCATCCCTCCCCATCCTCCGCCCATCCCTCTCCCTACCCCGCCCATCCCTCCCCATCCTCCGCCCATCCCTCTCCCTACCCCGTCCATCCCTCCCCATCCTCCGCCCATCCCTCTCCCTACCCCGCCCATCCCTCCCCATCCTCCACTCATCCTTCCCCGCTTCCGCCCGTGCGTCCAGCTTCCCTCCTAACACACACAGCCCCATAACTTTTGAGTCGACTCAAAAGCCTCCTAACACACACAGCCCCATAACTTTTGAGTCGACTCAAAAGCCTCCTAACACACACAGCCCCGTAACTGCTCCTGACTTCGTACCTCTCTCCACCAGCCAATCACCTTTCCACACCTCTCAAAAGAGTTTCGAGACATCTCAAAAGTTAACCCCTCCCGACTTCATACCTCTCTCCAGCTATGAGTCACCAGAAGACCTACTCCTTCCCCCAGGCGTCACTCCCTCCCCACACACGTATTCCCCTCTTCCCCCAGCCGTTATCCCCCCTGGAGAGGCTGCTCCGCCCCCAGGGGGCGCAACTGTCCCCCCAGGGGGAGCAACTCCACCCACAGGGGGGGCAACTGCGGCCATAGGGGGAGCTCCTGCGCCCATTGGGGGAGCAAATGCGCCCATAGGGGGAGCACCTGCGCCCATAGTGGGAGCACCTGCGCCCACAGGGGGAGCAACTGCGGCCATAGGGAGAGCACCTCCGCCCCCAGAGGGAGCACCTCCGCCCACAGAAAAAATTCCGCCTCCCCCAGAGGGGTTCCCCCCCAAGCATGGGGGAAACCTTCCGGGGAGAATCGCTCGCTTCCACCTCCCCCAGAGGGCGCACTTCCCCCCACAGGTCCCATAGGGGGAAAACCCCTCCGCCCAGAAGGCGCACTTTCCCCCACAGGGGGAAAGCCTTCCCCTGCAGCTTCAACGTCCCCTCATTCTCTTCCTTGGCTAGTAGACACACCTGGTACGGCAAGCGGCATTGCACCTGCGTCTGCCTCCCCTGCTGTTCCTGCTGCTGCTCCTGCTGTTCCTACTCCTGCTGCTGCTGCTGTTGCTTCTGCCACTGCACTTGTTGCTCCTGTTGCTGCAGATGCTGCTGCTGTTGGTGCTGGTGCAAGTGCTACTGCTGCTTTTCCGGCCGGTGGTGGTGCTGCTGCTGGTGGTGATGTTGCTGCTTGCCGTGATGTTGGTTTGAGGGGAAGTTCTAGCCAAGGGCTAGAAGTGAACTCAAGCCAACAGGAGCAGCTGCAGCTGCAGGAGCCGCAGCAGCAACAGCAGCAGCAGCAACAACAGCAGAAACCGCAACAGCAACAACAACAGCAACAGCAACAGCAACAGCAACAGCAACAGCAGCAGCAGTCAGGGTATGGAGAGACTTCGGATAGGGGCAGCACTCACGATAGGAAGAGGGGGAGGGAAGGAGGGGAGCGGGATGATGGGGAGAGTGAGAGGGAGGGGAAGCGGAGCAGAGGAGGTGAGAGTGGAGGGAGAGGGAGGTATGAGGAGAGAGAACGAGAAAGAGGAAGGGACAGGGGGAGCGATAGGGTTTGGGACAGGGATGAGAAGAGGGCAAGAGAGAGTAGGAGGGAGAGGAGTTGGGAGAGGGGGAGAGAGAGATCGAGGGAGAAGGAGAGGGAGAGGGGTCGAGAGAGATCAAGGGAGAGGGAGAGGGGTCGAGAGAGATCAAGGGAGTTGGAGAGGGGTAGAGAGAGATCGAAGGAGAGGGAGAGGGGTAGAGAGAGATCGAGGGAGAGGGAGAGGGGTAGAGAGAGATCAAGGGAGAGGGAGAGGGGTCGAGAGAGGTCGAGGGAGAGGGAGAGGGGTAGAGAGAGATCGAGGGAGAGGGAGAGGGGTCGAGAAAGATCAAGGGAGAGGGAGAGGGGTCGAGAGAGATCAAAGGAGAGGAAGAGGGACAGTGAAGGATCGAGGGGCAGGGAGAGGAATAGAGTTAGAGGTAGTAGGGAGGGGGAAAATGGACGAAGGGAGGTGGAAGGGGGAGGTGAGCGAAGCAGGGAGAGGGGAAGAGACAGGCATCGAGAAGCAAGCAAGGATAGGAGGGAATGGGGGGATGGTGGGAGCAGCGAGAGGAGGGAAGCTATTGCTGGCAGTATCACTCCCACTCCAATCGTGCGTGCTGCTGCTGCTGCTGTGGCTGCTGCTGCTGCTCCAACCGCTCCTGCTCTAGGTGGTGGTGGTTTGCCTGTCGTTGCTGTGTCTGATGCCACTGCTGTATTTGCTGGCCCTACTACCATTACAACAACTGCCCCCCTTGCTGATCTCGCTGCTTCCTCTGCACCACTCGCTTCTGCTGCGCCTATTGAGATGTCTCTTAAAACGCCTACTCCTTTTGCTGCATCTGATGGTGCTGCGGGTGCTTCAGCTGTCGCTCCTGCTGCAACTGCTCTGCCTGCTACTCTTGCTTCTTCTTCTGCACCCGTGGCCTCTGCTGTGCCTACTCCCCTTGCTGCATCTGATGGTGCTGCGGGTGCTTCAGCTGTCGCTCCTGCTGCAACTGCTCTGCCTGCTACTCTTGCTGCTTCTTCTGCACGCTTGCCCTCCGGTGTACCTTATGAGATGTCTCTAAGAAAGCCTACTCTTCTTGATGGTGCTGCGGGTGCTTCAGCTGGTGCAACTGCTCTGCCTGCTACTTTTGCCTCTCTCCCTGCCACTGTCGCTTCTGCTGCACCTACTGCTTTTGCTGCCTCAAAAACCCCTTCTGTTGCGACTGTTCCTGCTCCTGCCCCTGCCGCTGCTCCTGCTCCTGCCACCATCATCACCCCCACGCCACTCACCCTGCTGCACAAGCCGTGGTGGTGTTATAAGGACCCCAAGGGTCGAATCCAAGGGCCCTACTGCATTGATGATTTGTACCAGTGGGAAGGCTATGCGGGGTTCCGGGATACCCTTGTGTGGAATGCGAGGGATGCTGCTGGTGGTGGTGCGGTGGTTGCGGATCGAGTGGGATCGCTTTTGGACAAGTGGAGGCCGGTGAAACTAGCAGCAGAGCAGCAGTTAGCATGGGAGCAGCAGTTGGCAGTGCAACAGCAGCAGTTAGCAGCAGAGCAGCAGATAGCAGTAGGGCAGCAACTAGCAGCAGGACAGCGGTTGGTAGCAGAGAAGCAATTAGCAGCAGGACAGCAGATAGCAACAGAAGCCAAAGCAGAAGCAGCAGTAGGAGCAGGTGTAGCAGACGCAGGAGCGGCAACAGTAACAGCAACAGCAACAGCTGGGAGGGAATCAGCAAGACCAACAGCAGCAGGAGCAGGTGTCGCAGAAGTAGCAACAGCAACAACAGCAACAGCAACAGCAACATGGACAGAAGTGGTACCGGCAAGGCGAATGGGGTTGATAATTGTGGCACACGGAGATGAACGAAGGGTGGTGGCTGATACACCAGCCGCAGTAGGAGCAGCAGGAGCAGCAGGAGGAGCAGCAGGAGCAGCAGGAGGAGCAGGAGGAGCAGCAGCGACAACAATGGCAACAGCAATGGAAGATGCACTAGCAACATCGTCAGCTGCTGATGCTGTTGGTTTTTCTGCTGGTGCTAGTACCGCTGCTTTTTGCTGCTGCTGGTGGTGCTGCTGCTGCTGATGACGATGGTGCGGGTGGTGCTGCGGGTGCTGCTGCTGGTGCTGCTGCTGCCGCTGCTGCTGATGGTGCTGATGGTGGTGCTGCTGCTTTTGCTGCCGATGGTGGTGCTTCTACTGCTGCTGATGGTGCTGATAATAATGATGGTGCTGGTGGTGCTGTTGGTGATGATAATGGTGATGGTGGTGGTGCTGGTGATGCTGGTGGTGGTGACTATAATGGTGATGGTGATGGTGGTGGTGCTGGTGGCAATGGTGATTATAATAATAACAGTGATGTCATGGATTGTGGTGAGGATGAGTATGCACAAGAATGTGACTTTGGCGCGAGTGATTGTGAGAGTGAGGAGGACTCTATAGATTCTATGGAGCTGAAGCTGGGGATACGGAGGAGGAGGGAGGAGAGGCTCGCACTGGCACTGGGAGGAGTGGGAGGGGGTGGAGGAGCAGGGTGGGGAAATGGCGATGTGAATGGAGAGGAAAGAGCTGGTGATGGTGGGCTGGGTGGGGAAGTTGAGAGGACTGGTGGGGGTGGAGAGGGGGAAGCGGGAGTGAGTGGAGGAGAGGAGGTGGGTGGAGGAGGCCATGGGAGACGGGAAGAAGTGGGAGGCGGAGCGAGTGTTAAGAGAGAGGAAGGTGGTAAGGAACTTGGGGAGGGCTTTAACGGAGTGGAGGAGGGTGGTGAGGAAGTGACAGAAGAGAAAAGCAGAATGGTGGGAGCGCAAGGAAAGGGAATGGAGGGGGTGGGAGGGAGAGTGAAAGTGGAAGGGAAATTGGGAGTGGGAGCGGCTGAAGGGTTGGGATTGCAGGAGGAGCAAGGGACAGGAGGAGAGGGGGAAGGGAGAAGTGGTGATGAGCAAGGGACGAGAGGGGAGGAGGAAGAAATGAGAGGAGATGCGGGCAGGACGAGCAATGGAGTTAATGGTCCCGGTAGCAGGAGAGGGCAGGACGAGCCTACCCCTAATGACATAAGTGGTCCCAGCAGCAGGAGCAGGGGAAGAAAGAGGAGCAGGAGCACGGATAGAGATAAGCACAGGAGTAGGAGCTGGGATACGGGAAGGAAGAGGAGTAGGAGCAGAGATCGGGGTAGAAAGAGGGGCAGGAGCAGAGATCGGGGTAGAGAGAGGAGCAGGAGCAAGGATAGGAAAAGACACAGGAGTAGAAGCAGGGAGAAGGGACGGAGGAGGAAAAGCCATAGCAGAAGCAGAAGCAGAAGCAGAAGCAGAAGCAGAAGCAGAAGCAGAGAAAGGAGCAGCAGAAGCAGGAGCAGGAGCATGGAGAGGAGGGAACGGTGGGAGCGGAGAGAGAGGGGAGAGGGAAAAGTGGAGAGAGGGGGATGGGGGTGGAGGGGTGAAGAGGCAGAGGCGGTTTGGGTAACTCGTTGGGAAGAAAGGTTGGAAGGAGGGAGAGGAAACAGCGTGAGAGGGAAGGGGGGGAGAGGGAGAGGGGGAGAGGAAAACTTTACAGCTTCAGAGCACAGCCAATTTCGGATGGTGGGGTAGGTGAGGGTCCCCCAGGATTCGTGCATGGGGATTCGGTAAGGGAAGGGCACTTGGTAGGGAAAGGGCTTGGGGAGGAGCAAGTGGGGAGCGAGTGGAAGGGCGAGTGGAAGGGCGAGTGGAAGGGCGAGTGGAAGGGCAAATACAGGAGCTGGAGATTTTGTACAAAGGATGGGGGACAGGAGAGGCGGGTTCAGAGGGGTGGGGAGGAGCAGGGGGGAGTTGGGGGGAGAAGGGGGAGTTGGAGGGGAAAGTGGAGGTGGTTGGGGAGCGGGATGGAGAAAAGGGGGTGGTCAGGGGGGAGGAGAAGGGGAAAAAGGAGGGTGGGGCGGAGGTAGTTGGGGAGGAGAAGGGGGAGGTGGAGGGGGTTGGGGAGTGGTAGGTACAGGTGGTTGGGGGAGAGAGGGAGGAGAAATGGGAGGAAGAGAGGGTGGAAGTGGTTTGGGAGGGGAAGGGACACGGAAAGGGGAGGTCAGGGGGAGGAGAAGGAAGAGGGGGAGGGGGAAGCGAGACGGAGGGGGAGGCAAGGGTAGTTGGGGAGAAGGGGAAGGGTTGGGGGGATGGAAGTGGTTGGGGAGGAGGAGAGGGAGGTGGGTGGGGAAGGGAAGGAGAGCAGGGATGGGGGTCAGAAGCAGACAAGGCTGCAGGCGGAACATGGGGTAAGAATGTCACAGAGGAGATTAACCCCTGGGACGCATGGCAGGGGTGTGGGAGTGGCAGGGACGAGAGTGCTTTTTACAGGGCAGCAGTAGTGGATGAAGGAGGAATTGGCGAAAGCGGCGGAGGAGGAAGAGGAGAAAGAGGAAGAGGGAGAGGACGACGGGGAGGAAGAGGAGGAAGAGCAGAACGAGGCGGAAGAGGAGGACGAAGAGGTGGAAGAGGTGGAAGAGTTGGAAAGAAAGAGGATTGGACATGGAGGAGGCAGGCAGGAGCGGGGGAATAAAAGATTTAGGGTCAGAAAGCAATATATGAGTCGATTGTGCAGTCAGGGTGGTGTGGACGCAAAATCGTGGGTTGAATTCAACAATGATATAAATTTGTTGAAAGCGATTGAAATATAGAAATGTTGATTTGTTGTAGCCACAATTGGCTCTTTCATTGCTCATTGTAGTTGCTAGTGCTCATAATTAAGGTGGAATGACGAGGTTTGAGCCCCAGCTATCCGTGCTCCCATATTTTATTGAGTTTCTTCTCGTCGAGGATTTCGGTGAACCACTAGCCGAGCCGCACACCGACAAACCTTACCATTAGGCAGTTGCTGCTTGTGTACGAAGTGCTTTGTGCATGTACGGTGGGTTTGAACGGCTACGATCATGCACGGAATGTGGTGCCAAGGGCATCTTCTCCTGTCAAGAGATGCTCGGAACGAGCGTGGCAGGATCCAGAACCGTCGATTGATTTGAGTGCCGAGCCTGCGTCGAAAACATACAAACCGAACTTCGGCAGCGCGGCAGCAGCAAACCCCTGACCGCCGACATGATCGAGTGAACATTTCAATACGGTGCGGCTGGTTTCCATGACTTTCATGTCGGTAAAGAGGTGTTCGAGCATTCAAGTTTTGGCTGTCGGAAGTGGGGAGAACATGATCTGTTGTTTTCTCCTTCAGGTGCTGCCGAGCGAAGCTGATCAAGCAAGCGCCAAGTGCGCCGGCCATGAGATGGAATGAAATGGTGTGTACGTGATGGCCACATATGTGCAATCCTCCATATGTGGTGGAACAGTTGCGAAATAGCTGCTCAAAATCTGGAATCCTGCTTGCCGTAATTGACAAAGAATCTTTCATACTCTCCTTCAACTCCCTCATTCCACCCTTCACTCGCTCTGGAGTTTCCCGACTGTGCCAGATTCGAGGTTAGTGGCGTAGAATTCGCAAACATGGCGTGGATTCGCTGGCACGTTTTCGCAACGCTCGCCGTTTTGTTTATCGCGCAGAGCGCGGACGCAGCCGGGCTGATTCCGGGCTTCCCGATTCCGATTCCCGGCGTCGGAACGGGCGTGTGCACGTGGGACCAGTTCGTGGGCGAAATGAAGAAGCTTCAGCGAACTCTGGCAAAAAATCCAACTCGTTACGGCGGGATGGCCATCGCGCTGAAGCAAGGGCTGAAAAAGATGCGTGAGTGCTCCTGTAGTCTGATCAGGACGATGGTACGGGTCGCGTTGAGAGTCGTGACGGGCCGGTTCGGGATAAAAGGCCAAGATAGGTCTTTCATTGACAGGCGAGCTTTCTGGTTTCCCTAACTCTTTCCTTTCTCCTCCTACACCAACACCCTCTGCTCTTCCCCATCTCCCCCATTCCCTCAACGCCACCCCACCTTCCTTTATATTCATTCCCCTTCCCCAACAGAAAAGAATGCTCCTAGCGATTTGCTCCCTGCGGTCACCATTCTGGTTCCAACCAATCGCGCGCTTCTCGCCGCGAGTCTGAACCCCGCCTTCCTGATCGACCTCATTCAAAACAAGAAGAAGGTTCAGGGTATCGCCAAGGTGAACGTGCTCGTAGGCGAATACGACTACAGTACTTTGAAATCTACACCCAAGGGGCAAGGGATTCAAACGGCGGATTCGAACAAGAAGGTCGCGAGATACAAGGGCCAGGATAGCCCGCTGATGAAAGGCACGGGATTGACGCTGGGTGTCGTGGGGGCGAAAGGACGAGCGGAGGTTATGAATAAGGACCTGTTTAGCGGCAATTGCGTTGTTTGCGCAAGGAATCAGCAGACTGCTTCAGCCGTGAAAGCAGCCCAACTCTTCTCCTCAGCTCAAGGTTTTTGCTGGTCATGCAGAAAGGGGAGAATCGATCGCGAGATTGACGGTGGCAGCGATGAATGGCTCCTGGGAAGACTGCATTTGCAGGTCGGGGAACCGACTTGGGATACAGTGATGCAACATATGCATATTAATTCGTTCGAGTTCGCCCGAAGTGTGACACATATTTTTTGCAGAAATACTTAAGTGGAATATATAGTTAGCAGATATGACTATGTATATATAAATGTATGTATCGCGGGTGACAGTTCCCGCTTACACCGAGGATTTATGGAAGATATGTAGCCCACACCAGCTGGCACCCCGCACCGCACCCTAAGCCACCCAATCACGACAAACAGTGTCAAATAGGGGGAGTGGAAAATGGCGAAAGTTAGGTGCAGCCCACCGCGTATGAACAGTCAACTAGGGCAACCGGCAGGAAAATTAGAACCCGCATAGTCAACTCTAATCCGAATCGCGTCCGTTCTCCATTGGGTACGTGCATTCTGCCCCTGCCCTAATCTACTATTCGTCAAACTCAGCTCGGAAGTGCCCGACTCCTCACCTCACGGCACACTCTCCCGATTTCTCCCGTCCTGAGTCCTGAGCTCCTTCTGACCCATAATGAAACCACGAACGAATGCACGCGTTGGTGTTTTCGTAAACGAAAGAAAGAAAAGTCAACGCGGACCTGCTGTAAACTCGTAAGGCCTCTAACAGTCGCAGGGTGGTATATATAATAGGTGAAAGCCCATAATGCGTCACTTCACTTTCCCGCGCTCCATCTTCTACTACCTTCGACGGACCAACCAAACCTCTCTGTCAGATTCGTCGTCAGCAGCCTCAAGTTTGCGACCATGGTTTCGAGTCGCGTTCATATTTTCGCAGCGCTCGCAGTTTTTCTCATCAGGCAGACCGCTGTCGAAGCCGTCGTAAGTCCAGGCTTCCCGTTTCCCGACGTCGGATGCACGTGGCGACAGTTCGTCGGCGACCTGAAGAAGTTTCAACGAACTTTGGCGAAACGACCAACGCGTTACGACGGCATGGCTATTGCGATGAGCAAAGGGCTAGAATACAAGGGTCAGTGCTCGTTCGTGCAGTCTGGACAAAGGATAGTAATACAGGAGGCAGCGGCGATTTTTTAGTCGACCCAATGATAAAGGTTGCGCCTTCATGCAGTCTTTTGAGCAAATCATATTAGTAGCACAAGGAGGCAGGGCCATTGAGCTGGTTTCTGAGTCGACTCAAAAGTCATTTCTTTTGAGTCGACTCGAAAGCTAATGTTGCGCCTCCATGCAGTCTCTTGAACGAAATAATATCAGTAGCACAAGGAGGCAGGAGCGATGAGCTTGGCGGGGTCGGGATGCAACTGATAGATGCGAGTTTTAAATTTTTGAGACAGTGATATTCAAGAATGGGCTTCTTGTATTGTCTCACCACCTTCTCCCTTCCCACCTGTCCCCACACCCTGCTCCCCCTTCCCCATCCTGCCCTCCCCAACCCCATCCTCCCCTCCCCCTTGTCTTTTCCCAAACAGAAAAGGACGCTCCTAGCAAGCTGCCTCCCGCGGTAACGATTCTCGTTCCAACGAATCGCGCGCTCCTCAATGCGAGCATCAACCCCGCGATTCTAATGCAACTTATTTGGAAGACGAAAAAGGTTCAAGATATCGCAATGGTCAACGTGCTCTTCGACAATTTCGACTACGTTACTCTGAAAGCTCAACCCAAGGGTAAAGGGTTACCAACGGCGGATCCGAAAAAGAAACTCGTGGTATACAAACCAATGATCAAGGGCCCGCGATTGGTGCTAGGCGTGCTGGGGGGGAAGTCACGAACGGAAATTGTGAATCAGGACCTGTTTCGCGGTAACTGCGTGGCTGCGCATGGAACAAGCAGTGTGCTGCGCCCCTGAATGCCGGCGGCTCTTCTGTTTAGAAAGACGAGGCTGTTGCTGGCAATAAAGAGGTGCAAGCTCAGGGGAAGTTGAGGGGAAGTAGATTTGAGCAGGTTTGGTTGCCAATTTTGAAAAAGGAGCTCATGTGCGGTAATCGACGGATGCGAGATGGGCGGATCGACGGCTGCATTGAGAACTGAAACTTATTGATAGTTCCGCCTCTGTACAGCTACGAATGCGGTGCTACTTAGTTCTGCAATATTTTCATATAGAAGATTATTGGAGTTTATATGGCCAACAAAATTCCAACTTCGAATTGATCATGTCCTTCAGATTTGTTTACAGCTATCCCCTATCACAACCTACAAATGAGGAGGCTATGTTGTGTCTTGAGAGAATTTACGAAATCCAAAGTTGTGGAGAACACCCTGCAATACAGCATACACATAAGTTAGGCTGCAATGCAGTGCAAATCACATTTAGAGGTCCTCAACTCTGTTAACGAATAAGAGGGGGGCGGGGAACTAGCTTCTGTATGTGGTTTCGAAGGGTGGACAGACATAGTCACTCACCAGAGCATCCTTTATTCCATATGCAATACAGTAATGTTCCTGTACATGGATAAGACAATTTCATCTCGAGAATGAATCAGTGCCAGTAGAACCAAAAAACAAGACCAACAGCTTATGGAATGTAGCATGAAAGGACAATAATAAGAAAGGATGAAGCCCACCTGCATTAGATGCCACTCCTCAAACTCGTCAAATATCTCCAGTGGCTCGATTCTGCGGGAACAAGTACCGTAGGTGGACGGAGGGAGCATGGGAATGTGAAATCATATCTGAAAGCAGCCGGGAACTCATGAGATGTCACTCCTCAAACTCGTCAAATGTTTCCAGTGGCTCGATTCTGCAGGAACAAGGAGGTGAAAGGAGAAAGCAAGGGAATGTGAAACAAGATGTGAAACGAGACGTGAAACGAGATGTGAAACGAGATGTGAGACAAGATGTGAGACGAGATATGAAAACGAAATGTGAGACGAATTGTGGAAAGAGATGTAAACGAGGATGAGCCAGGGTGGGAAGTGGTGGAAGTGGTGTGAATTAGGGGTAAAATGGTTCGAGGAGAGGCGCGGTGCGGTGCGGTGAAGTGCAGTGCGGTGCCCACTTTCTGACAAGCTGTGGATCGATGTGGTGTGAATAGATCACGTCCATGTCTACTGCCTTGCTTCTCTGCACAGACATAGAACCAGAAGAAGAAGAAGAAGAAGAAGAAGAAGAAGAAGAAGAAGAAGAAGAAGAAGAAGAAGAAGAAGAAGAAGAAGAAGAAGAAAGAAGAAGAAGAAGAAGAAGAAGAAGAAGAAGAAGAAGAAGAAGAAGAAGAAGAAGAAGAGGAAGAAGAAGAAGAGGAAGAAGAAGAAGAAGAAGAAGAAGAAGAAGAAAAAAAAAAACCTCTAATTCGAACGTAAAAAACGTACAACGGTATATTTAGAGCCTGAAACATCAATGAGGTGTGGCGCGAATAACAGTACCTTACAACAAACAGGAAGCCGGTACCTCTAGAACAGGTGTGAAACACAGCGCTCCAACCGTGGAACGCAAGAAGACTGAGACCATGAAATGAAAATTCCCTTACTTCAAATCCACCGTCGAGAAATCTCTTTTCCTTTGCTTCAAGTGTTGGTGTGGCTCTGATGCCAAGCAAAGGACAGCCCCGAGCCTGACAAACAGCCAGAGGCGAAGAGGGGTAAAGAGAGGTGTGAGGAGAGGTGTGAGTGGTGGTGCGAGTGGTGATGCATTGAACACGAGGGGTACTGAGGTGTGTTATGTAACTATGCTTGAGCCTGACAGAGAACAGGCAAGGAGAAGTGGCATGAGGGTTGGTGCGGCATGGAGCTTTCTATGATTGGAAAACACTTTCTATAAATAGAAACACCAGGAGTTCCTTCGCCAGGTTGGGTTCATCTGCTGCCCGAAGAAATTGTCTGGGCAGATTTGATGGTCGACAACAAATGCATCGCACACTGTGCATTGCCTTCTGGTGCTTTCTATATCCAGCAGCACTTTCTAAATGTAGCAGCCTGAGCACGACGCCCACCTCCAGGTTCTGGATCATCTGCTGCCCGAAAGCATTGTCCGGGCGGATCTGCTCATAGACGACAAACACTTCGCACAGCAGCAGTGCCTTGCCTCATCGTGCTTTCTATATCCGGCATTAGTTTCTATAAATAACAGCCACCCATCAGCCCACGCACCTCTAGGTTTTGGATCATCTGCTGCCCAAAAGCATCATCCGGGCGGATCTGCTCGTAGACGACAAACGCCGCCGTGCCAAACTTCTCTGCCGACCACGCCACAAGCCTGCTGCTGCTGGGTGCGTCCATGTATATGAGTACGCACTCGCAGAGGAATAGCGTCGCTGTGCTGTTAGCAGGGGTTGAAGGAAGGAAAAGGATAAAATGGTTTATTTTTGAGAGTTTTTGAGTCGACTCAAAAACAGGATAAAATGAATAAATTTTGAGAGTTTGTGAGTCCGCAGATGAGCACACGCATCTCCCCCCCCTCACCACCCCTCTGCACCGCTCTCCACCCTTTTCCACCCCTCTCCACCACTCCATCACCTCCCTCAACTTCCTCAACCACTTGAGCCCAAACTCCGCTCCAGCTGCTGCAAGTGCCTCTTGCGAATTCTCAGTGTCCCTTAACTTGAATGTACCCTACACCCCTCCCCACCCCTCTCCATCCCTCTCCACGACTCTCCACCCATCACTTGTCTCCCCGCACTCACTTGGGCCCGAACTCAGCTCCAGCTGCTGCAAGTGCCTCTTGCAGCTTCTCGGTGTCTCTCAAATCAGCCGACACGAGGGAGTAGCCATTCGAGGAGCGCAGACCGTCACCCTCTGAAGATGGGCGGATGGGTGGGAGGAAGAGGGAAGAAAAAGAGCGAGAGAGAGAGGGTGGAGAATAAGGGGTGGGAGCTACGTGTGATGAGGTTGTTTTTGAGACGTCTTTTGAGAATTCTCTTTTGATTTCCATGAGGTTGTTTTTGAGACGTCTTTTGAGAATTCTCTTTTGATTTCCATGAGGTTGTTTTTGAGACGTCTTTTGAGAATTCTCTTTTGATTTCCATGAGGTTGTTTTTGAGACGTCTTTTGAGAATTCTCTTTTGATTTCCATGAGGTTGTTTTTGAGACGTCTTTTGAGAATTCTCTTTTGATTTCCATGAGGTTGTTTTTGAGACGTCTTTTGAGAATTCTCTTTTGATTTCCATGAGGTTGTTTTTGAGACGTCTTTTGAGAATTCTCTTTTGATTTCCATGAGGTTGTTTTTGAGACGTCTTTTGAGAATTCTCTTTTGATTTCCATGAGGTTGTTTTTGAGACGTCTTTTGAGAATTCTCTTTTGATTTCCATGAGGTTGTTTTTGAGACGTCTTTTGAGAATTCTCTTTTGATTTCCATGAGGTTGTTTTTGAGACGTCTTTTGAGAATTCTCTTTTGATTTCCATGAGGTTGTTTTTGAGACGTCTTTTGAGAATTCTCTTTTGATTTCCATGAGGTTGTTTTTGAGACGTCTTTTGAGAATTCTCTTTTGATTTCCATGAGGTTGTTTTTGAGACGTCTTTTGAGAATTCTCTTTTGATTTCCATGAGGTTGTTTTTGAGACGTCTTTTGAGAATTCTCTTTTGATTTCCATGAGGTCGTTTTTGAGACGTCTTTTGAGAATTCTCTTTTGATTTCCATGAGGTTGTTTTTGAGACGTCTTTTGAGAATTCTCTTTTGATTTCCATGAGGTTGTTTTTGAGACGTCTTTTGAGAATTCTCTTTTGATTTCCATGAGGTTGTTTTTGAGACGCCTTTTGAGAATTCTCTTTTGATTTCCATGAGGTTGTTTTTGAGACGCCTTTTGAGAATTCTCTTTTGATTTCCATGAGGTTGTTTTTGAGACGTCTTTTGAGAATTCTCTTTTGATTTCCATGAGGTTGTTTTTGAGACGCCTTTTGAGAATTCTCTTTTGATTTCCATGAGGTTGTTTTTGAGACGTCTTTTGAGAATTCTCTTTTGATTTCCATGAGGTCGTTTTTGAGACGTCTTTTGAGAATTCTCTTTTGATTTCCATGAGGTTGTTTTTGAGACGTCTTTTGAGAATTCTCTTTTGATTTCCATGAGGTTGTTTTTGAGACGTCTTTTGAGAATTCTCTTTTGATTTCCATGAGGTTGTTTTTGAGACGTCTTTTGAGAATTCTCTTTTGATTTCCATGAGGTTGTTTTTGAGACGTCTTTTGAGAATTCTCTTTTGATTTCCATGAGGTTGTTTTTGAGACGTCTTTTGAGAATTCTCTTTTGATTTCCATGAGGTTGTTTTTGAGACGTCTTTTGAGAATTCTCTTTTGATTTCCATGAGGTTGTTTTTGAGACGTCTTTTGAGAATTCTCTTCTGATTTCCATGAGGTTGTTTTTGAGACGTCTTTTGAGAATTCTCTTCTGATTTCCATGAGGTTGTTTTTGAGACGTCTTTTGAGAATTCTCTTCTGATTTCCATGAGGTTGTTTTTGAGACGTCTTTTGAGAATTCTCTTTTGATTTCCATGAGGTTGTTTTTGAGACGTCTTTTGAGAATTCTCTTTTGATTTCCATGAGGTCGTTTTTGAGACGTCTTTTGAGAATTCTCTTTTGATTTCCATGAGGTTGTTTTTGAGACGTCTTTTGAGAATTCTCTTTTGATTTCCATGAGGTTGTTTTTGAGACGTCTTTTGAGAATTCTCTTTTGATTTCCATGAGGTTGTTTTTGAGACGTCTTTTGAGAATTCTCTTTTGATTTCCATGAGGTTGTTTTTGAGACGTCTTTTGAGAATTCTCTTTTGATTTCCATGAGGTTGTTTTTGAGACGTCTTTTGAGAATTCTCTTTTGATTTCCATGAGGTTGTTTTTGAGACGTCTTTTGAGAATTCTCTTTTGATTTCCATGAGGTTGTTTTTGAGACGTCTTTTGAGAATTCTCTTTTGATTTCCATGAGGTTGTTTTTGAGACGTCTTTTGAGAATTCTCTTTTGATTTCCATGAGGTTGTTTTTGAGACGTCTTTTGAGAATTCTCTTTTGATTTCCATGAGGTTGTTTTTGAGACGTCTTTTGAGAATTCTCTTTTGATTTCCATGAGGTTGTTTTTGAGACGTCTTTTGAGAATTCTCTTTTGATTTCCATGAGGTCGTTTTTGAGACGTCTTTTGAGAATTCTCTTTTGATTTCCATGAGGTTGTTTTTGAGACGTCTTTTGAGAATTCTCTTTTGATTTCCATGAGGTTGTTTTTGAGACGTCTTTTGAGAATTCTCTTTTGATTTCCATGAGGTTGTTTTTGAGACGTCTTTTGAGAATTCTCTTTTGATTTCCATGAGGTTGTTTTTGAGACGTCTTTTGAGAATTCTCTTTTGATTTCCATGAGGTTGTTTTTGAGACGTCTTTTGAGAATTCTCTTTTGATTTCCATGAGGTCGTTTTTGAGACGTCTTTTGAGAATTCTCTTTTGATTTCCATGAGGTTGTTTTTGAGACGTCTTTTGAGAATTCTCTTTTGATTTCCATGAGGTTGTTTTTGAGACGTCTTTTGAGAATTCTCTTTTGATTTCCATGAGGTTGTTTTTGAGACGCCTTTTGAGAATTCTCTTTTGATTTCCATGAGGTTGTTTTTGAGACGCCTTTTGAGAATTCTCTTTTGATTTCCATGAGGTTGTTTTTGAGACGTCTTTTGAGAATTCTCTTTTGATTTCCATGAGGTTGTTTTTGAGACGCCTTTTGAGAATTCTCTTTTGATTTCCATGAGGTTGTTTTTGAGACGTCTTTTGAGAATTCTCTTTTGATTTCCATGAGGTCGTTTTTGAGACGTCTTTTGAGAATTCTCTTTTGATTTCCATGAGGTTGTTTTTGAGACGTCTTTTGAGAATTCTCTTTTGATTTCCATGAGGTTGTTTTTGAGACGTCTTTTGAGAATTCTCTTTTGATTTCCATGAGGTTGTTTTTGAGACGTCTTTTGAGAATTCTCTTTTGATTTCCATGAGGTTGTTTTTGAGACGTCTTTTGAGAATTCTCTTTTGATTTCCATGAGGTTGTTTTTGAGACGTCTTTTGAGAATTCTCTTTTGATTTCCATGAGGTTGTTTTTGAGACGTCTTTTGAGAATTCTCTTTTGATTTCCATGAGGTTGTTTTTGAGACGTCTTTTGAGAATTCTCTTCTGATTTCCATGAGGTTGTTTTTGAGACGTCTTTTGAGAATTCTCTTCTGATTTCCATGAGGTTGTTTTTGAGACGTCTTTTGAGAATTCTCTTCTGATTTCCATGAGGTTGTTTTTGAGACGTCTTTTGAGAATTCTCTTTTGATTTCCATGAGGTTGTTTTTGAGACGTCTTTTGAGAATTCTCTTTTGATTTCCATGAGGTTGTTTTTGAGACGTCTTTTGAGAATTCTCTTTTGATTTCCATGAGGTTGTTTTTGAGACGTCTTTTGAGAATTCTCTTTTGATTTCCATGAGGTTGTTTTTGAGACGTCTTTTGAGAATTCTCTTTTGATTTCCATGAGGTTGTTTTTGAGACGTCTTTTGAGAATTCTCTTTTGATTTCCATGAGGTTGTTTTTGAGACGTCTTTTGAGAATTCTCTTTTGATTTCCATGAGGTTGTTTTTGAGACGTCTTTTGAGAATTCTCTTTTGATTTCCATGAGGTTGTTTTTGAGACGTCTTTTGAGAATTCTCTTTTGATTTCCATGAGGTTGTTTTTGAGACGTCTTTTGAGAATTCTCTTTTGATTTCCATGAGGTTGTTTTTGAGACGTCTTTTGAGAATTCTCTTTTGATTTCCATGAGGTTGTTTTTGAGACGTCTTTTGAGAATTCTCTTTTGATTTCCATGAGGTTGTTTTTGAGACGTCTTTTGAGAATTCTCTTTTGATTTCCATGAGGTTGTTTTTGAGACGTCTTTTGAGAATTCTCTTTTGATTTCCATGAGGTCGTTTTTGAGACGTCTTTTGAGAATTCTCTTTTGATTTCCATGAGGTTGTTTTTGAGACGTCTTTTGAGAATTCTCTTTTGATTTCCATGAGGTTGTTTTTGAGACGTCTTTTGAGAATTCTCTTTTGATTTCCATGAGGTTGTTTTTGAGACGCCTTTTGAGAATTCTCTTTTGATTTCCATGAGGTTGTTTTTGAGACGCCTTTTGAGAATTCTCTTTTGATTTCCATGAGGTTGTTTTTGAGACGCCTTTTGAGAATTCTCTTTTGATTTCCATGAGGTTGTTTTTGAGACGCCTTTTGAGAATTCTCTTTTGATTTCCATGAGGTTGTTTTTGAGACGTCTTTTGAGAATTCTCTTTTGATTTCCATGAGGTCGTTTTTGAGACGTCTTTTGAGAATTCTCTTTTGATTTCCATGAGGTTGTTTTTGAGACGTCTTTTGAGAATTCTCTTTTGATTTCCATGAGGTTGTTTTTGAGACGTCTTTTGAGAATTCTCTTTTGATTTCCATGAGGTTGTTTTTGAGACGTCTTTTGAGAATTCTCTTTTGATTTCCATGAGGTTGTTTTTGAGACGTCTTTTGAGAATTCTCTTTTGATTTCCATGAGGTTGTTTTTGAGACGTCTTTTGAGAATTCTCTTTTGATTTCCATGAGGTTGTTTTTGAGACGTCTTTTGAGAATTCTCTTTTGATTTCCATGAGGTTGTTTTTGAGACGTCTTTTGAGAATTCTCTTCTGATTTCCATGAGGTTGTTTTTGAGACGTCTTTTGAGAATTCTCTTCTGATTTCCATGAGGTTGTTTTTGAGACGTCTTTTGAGAATTCTCTTCTGATTTCCATGAGGTTGTTTTTGAGACGTCTTTTGAGAATTCTCTTTTGATTTCCATGAGGTTGTTTTTGAGACGTCTTT